GCACTCACTGACTGGCGAACGACGGGAGTTACAGTGCCGCCGCCGCCGCTGCTGTGTCTCATTCGGCCTTTACGGCGCACCTTGTTGGCTGCACGTTCCTCGACCTGTCAAGTATCAAATGTTTTGATTGATACCTCCCAGCATTCCTATGTACAGCACCAACCCAACCCCCCCCTCTTGGTGCTCGTAAGACAAACAACCTGGAACATGGCATCATCCAGGAGCAACAAGGTTGAACGGAGAGTGTGGCTGGCTCATGTCACCCTTTGATGGATCAATAAAAAAGTCGTGGGCTCTCACAAGACTACCAAGTCACGCAGGGCTCAAGGCATTGGGTCTCGGCCATTCTTTGGAAGTCCCGGAGAACTGTCGGCGGCGACGACAACCACGCAAGAGGTAGGTGGCTCGCCGATAGTCATAGCCAGCGTCGCCTTGCAACCATCGGCCAGGGTGGCGTGGTTTGCAGGGTAACAAGCAGTCTCTGCTGTGGCTCCCAAACCAGAGTGTGGATGTGCGGCTCGGGTTGAGTGAGGCTTGACTTGCTGCGGTTCAGTCCCGAACGGCGCCAGGGACATTGACTGGAACGACATGCTTCACCTCACTCACGTCCGCGATGCGTTGCACGCAAACTATGATGGATACGTATCGGGCGAAGCTGCTGCGTAGCGAAATTCAAATAGCTGTCATTCGGCGACAAACAAAAGACGCGACACGACATGGAAGCTCGGCAAGTCGAGGGACCGGTCACTTGGCGCGCCGGCTCATGTTGATCTGCTCGGAAGAGGCAGAACAGAGTTGCGACTACAGAGGCGCTAGGACTAAAAAAGAGGTTGACGCGGCACATGGACACAGGTTGTCGGCCGCGGCATGACGGGCTGTCACGGTCGGAAAGTCTTCGGTTGCAAACTTTCTTCCCCGTCTCTTTTTCCTTTTCAGGAGCTATCGGTAATATCAGCGGTGTGGGGGAAGAGCCAGGTATCCCCGATTTGGGTTGAAGCCGCCATGCATCAATGGGCGAACAGCGGACACAACAAAGAGCAGCAGCAGCAGCAGCAGCATGTCCATACCGTCGGGTCCATATCATATCGTCTGGGCATCAAAACGACGGTGGCCATCGTCATGGGCATAAAGCCGGATTGGCAGCTCACCGTTGCTCATACTCCAATATTCCTCGCGATTAGGCTTTGGGCCACGACTACCTACCTAGTCGTGCCCGGGCACTGCCTGCCAGCATGTCCCGGCGAAGCAAGCCTTCTGCTGACACCACACATCCAGGGACGGTCCCAGACGCCGACGATGCCGATTCAGGGAAAGACTTACGGAGTAGGTAGTACCTAGGGGGATGGATACTTGGCATGTGCCGGCTGCAGAAGTGTTCGAGTGCCCTTTCATGACGACCGTCAGCCACCACACACGGTCACGAATGCACTCGACCACGCAGCAAGACGCTAACCCATTCTCGGGCCCTCGCACTCTGTGTTCCCGCTGCTTGCTTGCTTGCTTGCTTACTCATTGTCGAGTACCTACCTATCAATCAGATGGGGTCGCTCGGCACCTGGGCACCGCCAGCGTTGGTGGATTCGCACAGCTCGCAACAACTCAAATCTCAGATCCAGATAACTGGAATCTCGCCCCAGCCTAGTCAAAGTCCGCGTCCCTACGGAGTATTGGCAGTGGTAAGTTTTCGGGCACTAGGAATTGTTAAGAAACCGCCCCCCCCCCCCCCCCCCCATTTGAAAAAGCGACAAGCAAGGGTGTCTTATAATACATCATAGGTTGATCATTAGTTCACACTGAGGTACGGATACAAAGCAAGCAGGAAGCAAGCCCTTACAGTCTACACTACCTAGTATCCGGCGGCCTGCTTCCAGCACGCTTTGCTTCCCAGCAATAAGCAACTCGTGCCGGAGCGGCGGCACGCGCGTGGACACGCACTTCTAGGAGTAAGGGTACGAGTATCCATAGCGCACACAGCGACGGATCATGGCTGCTCGGCACGGCAAGCAGTTCATTACTCTCGGCACGGATATTGTACAGCTACACGCTTGAATGGAACACCAAGAAACGCTATGGCTGCCCAGACTTAGTTGCCTACGGTAGTCCTCGGGATTGAGCTCTGCCACCATGAACTACGTAAGGTCATTTCTCGCCTGTCTTGTCTTGCCAGTCGATCCACCCGGCTCTGGCTCTGCTCTACCTACCTACCTTACTTCCACTTCATCTTGAGTCGTGTCCCCTTTTCTCAGGAAACCGTCTTCCTTACATATATATCTGCCAAGTTGGTCAATCGCTCGCTCGCAGCAAGCATCGGTTGCAACTGTTCCATTCCCATCGTCCTGCCCGCAGAGTTCCGCCTGCGAAGCAAGAAAAACAAGAAAAGGCTGGGGAACTAAACCGCATACATTCGCACACTGGGCCGCCCATCAAACGTCCCATTCCATCTCATCATCCCTCCTCATCCGCCATCGTAAGCTACCTATTCCTATTATCTACAGTACCAACCAGGTCATATTCATTATCCATACGTCGTTCCCCCCTGCATTGCGCTTTTTTACCTTGTCCAGACGGAGGGAGGGTTTTCTCTCATTCCTTCTTCCCCTCCTCTCAAACGTCTCGTCTCATCTCAACCCATAACATTACCCCCGTCGCCTCGTCTTTTGTTGCGAGAGCTTGGAAAGGGTTTAAAAAAAAATTGCACCTTTTTTTTTTCTTGTTCTATCATATCCGTATTTCCCGCCCCAAAACCAAAACTCGCAAACCCCTCCCCTCCCCAATCATTGGTGAGAGAGGACGAGATTTACACACAGGGCGTACACCGCACACGCCTCACTCACTCACTCACGCACATACATACACACACCGCAACATTACCCACGGTCATCGCGTCGCAGAGTCTCTTTTCCTGTACGCTACCTACTCTACCTACTCTACCCACTCTCCCCCGCGCCCGACATCATCATCCTTGCACGTTACTCAAAGGCCGCTATCGCAGCCAATCCAATCCTGCTTCCGTGGTTGGGGGTGCTGGAGAGAGAGAGAGACCTACCACTCCCAGCCTGTGCGCCAAAGCCAATTCCCACTCTTTCCATTCGGCGTCCAGAAAACCTCTTTGCTGGGATACCGTCGCAACCGTCGTAGCCGTTGCGGCCGGCGCCTCTTCACTCGCCCTCCCCTCCCTGCTGTGTGTTGTGGCTTGGCTTGCCCACCGCTCACTCACTCACTCATTCATTCACTCACTCACCTACCCTCTCACTAGGTAGTTCTCCCACTGTCAGTCACCCCCCTAGTCGCTGCCGCTGTCACATTTCACCATCTTCACTCATCTGTACGTCGTGCGTTTTGTTACCGCTCTCCGCTCCCTCATTCTCATTCTTGTTTGTTCGCCCTGTTGTGCTATGCTATATTACTCCGCTGGATTATGGCCCTATCGATACCACACCGACCCTATCCTCTTTTTCACCTTCACCTTCACCTTGTAACCCCACCGCTTAAACAAGGGCGGTCAATTAGTGTACCAGGTCATCGACTCTAACCGCTTCGCCTCGCCTTCGCTTGCTTGCCTCTCTCTCCCCTCCCCCTCACATCCTATCCTACACCCCTCATTGTTGCCGACATCTTCCCTGTTGCCAACACCTCATTCGCCGATTTCATATCTGGCTCGACTCGATTCCGACCCCATCCATCCCATCATCACTCCACCCCCCTCCCCTTCTACCTCCCACCTGGCTAGAAACCAAGGAGACTCTCACTCCCCTCGGAGAGAGCCCCAAGCAAGACTTCAGCAGGTCCTGTGGCGTGCGCGCGGGGCTCCCCATCTTCACTTCACTGAGGCATGGCGAGCAGTCAGAAGGCAAAAACGTGAGACATTCATTCAACACGGACGCATCCTGACTGGTCCGGACTCCCCTCTCAAGAGAGGCCCTGTCCTGCGGTATCTATGCCGAGCCTCTCTGCCTCTGGGCCTTTGACCTTGGACTTTGGACTGAACTGTGACGACGTTTGATTTCGATTGGTCCCACTCTCTCTCTCTCTCTCTCCCTCCCTCTCTCTATCCCACACGCCCACCCCCCTCCCTCCCTTCTGATCTCATTTGCGCCCTCATCACCCACTCTCACTCTCTCTCTCTCTCTCTCTCACACACACACACACACCACACACACACGCATCTCATCCCGCACCCGCACCGGCATGCCATACTGATCTTCCCGTTGTACCTAGCAACTAGACTTTCTTCTCCGCCAAAAACAACACGCAAAGTTCTTGCTTTTCCACCCACGAGGAGGTCCGAGAGTGGGATGTGATTAAGCCCACCCCGGCTCTTGTCACTGACTGATCGCATATGCACGCTCGACTCTCTGTCTCTCTCATCTGACGGTACGTCCTGCGTTCCCTTCCGGTACCTGTTCTCTCACTCCGAGCCCGCCTCCCGTCCGCTTAGCGTCTTCTTCGTCTTGTTGTACCTCAACAAAGATGCATGTCCAATGCCCTCCCCCATGCCAGTCTGTCTGTCTGTTCTGTCTTGTCTCTCCGTCTTTTCCATGTGCCGCAAGTGCTCGCACCGCGCCGTGTCCCATCACCGCTGCACATTATCACGGACAACCCTGCATCCCACCTCAAACCCCCATCATCCCTAACTCCCGCCTCGATGCCTGACACCACTCCTGGACGACCCGACCTACACATCCACGTCGCCTCCTCCTATGGATACCCTCACTTGCTTTTTGCCAGCGCATAGAACTGTCTCATGCACCTCCCATCTGCCCAACACCCCAGACCGGCCTTCCATTGTTCCTGGCCGTCAAAAAAAAAAGCTTGCTTTCCTAAAACACCGCTCTTCTTTTAGCCTCGACCACCGTTTCTACTGTTTCTTATAATCGGCATACCGCCGCTCATCTTGTTCCCCCACCGGCTGAGTGATTTGCGGATTCTCTTCGTCACTCGGCCACTTTCTACATGTTTCTTCCCGACAGCGGTCGTCGTGTCTAACAATGCCGTCCGCAATGACAGACTCGGAGCGATCTCGGCGTACGGAAAACTGGATTCCCACATCCACCCGTGGCGGCGTCTACTACTGCCCCAGATATCTCCTCGACCCTCCGGCTGCACAACAAAACCGCCTGCCAACGCCGCCCATTCGCGCTCGTCAAGTGAGGCCGCGATCCATACACATTACCTCGTGGCCGTCTGGTTTCGTACCCCATGAACTGAGACCCCAGCCTGAGCGCCCCGTCAAGAGGAGGAAGCCGCCCAACCCCGTCTCGCCCGCTACCACGTCGCTGGGCAAGACGTCATTGAAGTTCAGCTTCAAGCAATTCTTCTCCCTCTCCCAGAAACAGGTCCCGAGCCGATCCGCTTCGAGCGCTTCCACCCCCTCGAGGCCGCCCCTCTCGAGACCACCCAGCAGGGCCACGAGCCTCCTCAACAGACTCTCCAGCTATCGCGAGGTAGACCTGGTGGTGCCCGAGGAAGACACAATGGCGCTGCGATCGGCCGCCATGTCCGAAACCATGAGGCCGCCTCTCATGTCCTCTGCCTACAACACCCCCGGCCAACGCAGCAGCTTGATATCGGTCCGGAGCGCCAAGAGCAACGTGACATCCATGGTGACGGAAATCCCCAAGCCCGTCGCGCACGGCAGCGGCGTCAGCTGTTCGATCCTCATGGCCGAGCCCAACGTCTTCCTGACCGGATTCGACCACGACGGCCACCGGCAACACTCGCAGGGCGGCACGGCGCTGCTGCGCGGAAAGCTGCAGCTAAAGGTCACCAAGAACGTCAAGATCAAGGGCGTCAGCCTGAAGCTGGCGGGAAAGGCGCGGACGGAATGGCCCGAGGGCATCCCCCCGCTCAAGGTCGACCTTTACGAGGAGGAGTCGCTGCGGACACAGGTCCTGACATTTTTCAACGCCGTCAATGACGGATGGGAGTCCGAGTACGGCAACCAGTGCGTCTACACGCTGAAGAACAGCTCCACGAACTCTTCGTCGACGAACCTCGCCTCCGGCTCCCCCCGCAACTCAATCTCACAGTCGCTGCTGTCGGTGCCGCTCAACTCCAACAACAACAACAACTCCAACAACAACAACAACAACAACAACAACAGGCAGGGCATGACGGCGAGGGAGCTGAAGCGTCTCTCGCTGCAATCAAACCAATCTCGCAGCTTCGGCAAGGGCGACAACCCCAGCGGCAACCAGGCCAAGGGTTACAAGGTCTTCTATCCCGGCGTGTACGAATACAACTTTGAGCTGCCCATCGACCACCACCAGCTGGAGACCACCAAGCTGCAATACGGCTCCGTCAAATGGGAGCTGCAGGCGACCGTCGAGCGGGCCGGGGCCTTCAAGCCGAACTTGCACGGGTCCAAGGAAGTGGCCATCGTGCGCGTGCCCGACCAGCTGTCGCTGGAAATGACGGAGCCCATCTCCATCAGCCGCCAGTGGGAGGACCAGCTACACTACGACATTGTCATCTCTGGCAAGTCGTTCCCCATCGGCACCAAGATCCCGATCGCCTTCAAGCTCACGCCGCTTGCCAAGGTCCAGGTTCACAAGCTCAAGGTTTTCGTCACCGAGTCGGTCGAGTACTGGACCAACGACCGCAGGGTCACGCGCAAGGACCCGGGCAGGAAGATCCTGTTGCTCGAGAAGACTGCGGGAAAGCCCCTGGATCCCGCCTATGCCTCATCGGACGTCCGCGTGCTCAACGGCGGCGAGCTGACGCCGCGCCAGCGTCGCGAGGCCCGCGAGTCCGCCGCCATGCGTCGTGCTGCCGAGGCTTCCCGCCACGGCATGATGCCAGACCCTCTGCCCGAACCGGTCGACAACATCCTGGGTGATCTGGACCTCGGCCTGGAGAGCTACTGGGGCTCGACCGAGATCGAGATGAATGTGCAGCTGCCCACTTGCGACACCATGGCCAAGAGCAAGGAGCTGCGCCTGCACCCCGACTGCAGTTGGAAGAACGTCAACGTGTACCACTGGATCAAGGTATGTGACGGCTCCTCCCCCTCTTCTCCCTGTCTTTCGGCAGCTTGTCTTTGTGACGCGTGAGCCCATCTCCCCCTCCCCCCGACTGACATGAGCTTCTCACAGATCGTCATGAGGATCTCTCGCCTTGACCCCGATGATCCCACTGGCACCAAGCGCCGTCACTTCGAGATCAGCATCGACTCGCCGTTCACGGTTCTCAACTGCCGCGCCACGCAGGCCAACACCTCTCTGCCCGAGTACTCGGGCCCCGACATGTGTGCCAACCAGAGCCGCCAGACCTCCTGCGGCTGCCCCGACGCCGTGACCATCTCCGGGCCCCCAGAGGGCTCGCCGAACAACTTGTCGACCGGCGCCCTCACCGTCGTGGACGGCTCCGACAACCTTCCGGCACCGCCGCAGGCGGCACACCTCCCGTCCTCCCCGCAGCCTGGCACCGGCGCCACCACCAGCCGCCACGGACAGACCTCGCCACCGACCTCCCAGACGAACGTGGATCCGTTCTCTGACACTCACCCGCGCCCGATTCACCTCCTCCGCGTGCCGTCGTACAACCCCCCGGCCTTCGACGCCGAGGTACCACCGCCGCCCGCAGAGGAGCAGCTGCGGCTACAGACGCCGCCGCCCCAGTACGACGTCATCGTCGGCACCCCCAGCGTGGACGGCATGGCGGACTACTTTGCGCGCCTCGCGGACTACGGCTACGACGAGCCCGAGGAGGATTCGGACTCGGACGAGGGCCCGGCCCGCATCACGGAGCGCGGAGGGCGCGTTAACGTCGCGCACCCCCGCACGCCGGGCGGCCGACGCGCGCCCAGCCGGAGCATGGAGATTCAACGGCCCCCCCTGGAGCTGAGGATGGAGACGCTGCCCGCGCTTCGAAGGAGCGACGTGCCGTCACAAATTAACTGAACATAATGATGTAATATCAACGGGACCCAAGATCCACCAATAAAGGACAAAACGACAACTGATGAGTAGGGGAAAGGGGGCCGGAAGGGGAAAGGGATCGGGACGGGAACTAGAGGAAGCCGGCTTTCACGTTTTTTTCTTTTTCTTTACCCACGCATCATGACGGATCATTCGAATGGGTTTTACACACGACTCAAACGAGAATGGATGGGGGGAAGGGAAGGGAATCGGTCGGCGTATTGACTCAAAACAAGGGAGGCTGCCATTCAAGGACGCGCCGCGCTTCGCTCGTCATATCCGGAGCGAAGTAGGATCTCACGGGGGGGGGAGGGAGGGAGAAGGGGGATTTAACGAGAAGGTTCCGGAGTATATCTGGAGTATGAGACCCCTCCCCGGATTTGTTTTTTCTTTTCTCTTTTGTCAGATATACCTGGACTCTTCACGTCCACCGCTTTTCTGCGCCAATACTTGATTCCCCGGATAACGTAAACCTAAACTGTTGATTACGAAGGAGAAAAACAAAACATTTTGACAAAAAAGGCTGCTTTTATGGGTGATTGTAAGGTGTCTTTTTTCTTAAATTGTTTTTGTATACTGTTGACTACTGTTTCCTTCCAATAGTTTTCAATCTTTCATGTCATTTCTACTTTCTGCTTATAAGAGGCCGAACGGATGGGGGAGTTGGCGCCCTCGACGCCTTTGTTCCGGCACGCACTCGTCATGTTTGTCCAACGCGTCGATAACAATGAAAGGTTCAACGAAGAACCTGACCAGCCCGTGTTCAGCCCTTGTCTCCCGTCGCTTTTCCGCGGCTGATTGGCGTGGTTCGACGAGACGTCTCGTGACAGGGGAGGGGGGTTGCGTGTAAATGACCCGTCCATCCGTCCGTCCGGCGCTGCTCTCGCCACGCGAAACGAATCTCGGTCGAAGGCGCCCCCCCCTCCCTCCCCGTTGGAAGACGGTCCGAGTCTCGGTGGCACCCCCCCCCCCCCCCTCTTCCCTCGGCGACGTTCCTCCCGGAAAGATGTGCATAGGGAGGGAGGGGGGGGAGGGGGGGGGGGTTTGTTTTCTCTCGTCTATCGGGCATTCCCATCTTCCGGCGCTTGGGGGGAGTAACACGAAGGAGCGGCGAACTGGGGAGGCGAATAGAGGGGGTGGCGGACGTTTCGAGTTCTCGTGGAAAGGGGGGGATGGTACGTCAACAGGTGGGAGGGAGGATGGAGTGAGGGCGGAGGAGGAGAGTGCCGGACGGGACGGCGGGCGGTCTTTGCCTCTCGCGCGGGACCGGTGACGTTGCGGATGGCACGGGCAGAGGGAGGGGGCAGTCTACTTCACTGGCGAGGCCGTGTCGGTTGTATGTAGGGGACAGCGACGGGGCAGGCGGTCTAGTTGCTACTAAGCGTTCCTCTTGAGATCGCACAGGGTAAGGTATACGATGTGTGTCTGACTATTACAGGATGGGGTGGTGTCTCCGTTCGTCTGGGTCCTGCTTGGGTTGTGGAGAAGTGCCGAGGAAGTTCAGTCAGATGCCGTCATTGACGGGACGTGGTTGTCTGCAATTCAAGTTGGTTTACACCTCAATCTCAGTACACACAATGGAAAAGAACGTTTGCCGGGACTCTCGGGACAGTAAACCAGACTTGGGAAAGGGGGGGGAGGGATAGCAGGGTGTGTAGATTGACCAGCAAAGGCTCGAAGCAACTTTGGGTATCTGGCCACTCCTGAAAGGGGGGGGTGAGAGGACGGTCTCGTTTCTGGCCGATTTGAGTACGGGTGGCGGCTGTTTCTTCTTTCGCGCATTGGGAGGGCGGGCCACGGACGAGGACGCGCCGTCTGGATGGCGGGGTGCGTTGGGAGGGGATTGGAGGGGCTGGACGGTGAGGCTGATGTTTCTTTTGGGGAGTTTGAGGTTTTCGTGGTTCGATAAGGGGCGTGTACAACGTATGTTACTAGCTTTCTGCCCTTTTCTCTCTGCCTCTTTTCCTTGGCCTTTAACATCCCCCCTTGTGTGTGTGTGTGAGGTTGAGTGGCGTCGGGACTCAGGTTAACAAGTTCATTTCTGGGGGAGGGGGAGAAGGTTGAGTCGGGCGACAATGGCATTGACAGCACGAGCGCGTGGGCGGGACCCGTGGCCTTGTGTCTTCGCCTTCAGAGGGTTTCCTTTTTTGCTTTATGTTTTTTTTTTTTTTTTGAACTTCTCGTCCCCAGTGACTGGGTAGCTGAATCGTCTTCTTGGGATGGTAAAGTCTATGCGGAGGGGCCGGAAAGCCGGACTGGACGAGGTTCAGGTAAAACGACGGGATCGCGATGCTTGATCACGATGGCGGCGGATGGTTCAGAGGTTTCTGCGATACGCCGCGAGTGGCTTCTGTGGACCTGGCCACACACACACACACACACGCCCCTTTGAGTATTATAGCAATGCTGGTGTTCCAACTGCCGTACACATGCACGCTTTGTTGGGGGAGGGGAAAAAGTACAAGCGTTGTTCGGTCGAGAACCAACTCCAACACGGCGAGTCCCCAGAGTTTCGGGGAGGCCTTCCGTCTGATATTCCGAGCCACTCGCGGGCGTCGCAGCGCGAGATGTTGCTTACTCAGGTGTCCATGCTGGGGGGGGGGGGAGGCCGCACGCGGACGGGAGGGATGGGGCATGTTCGAGAAGCGTGGAGCAAAGAGGTTTGATATTGCCAAGGTTTTCTTGTGATAATTATATCAAAAAGGTATATCGGCCTCGATCTGTGGTGGTCGATGCATGGGCCGGCTCGCCGGGTCATGCCGGGACAGGGGGCGGAGATTCATGATATTGGGTTCAGTGAAGAGATTGGCGTGACATGTACTTCTGGTTGTTTTGAGACTAGCATTTCTTTTAGGAAGATGGAGTAAGAACCTATTCGTCTTCTGAGATGTCGATGACCGCAATCTTCTAGATTCGACGACAGAGAACCAATCTCTAGTTCAGCAACGTTATGTTGTTGTTCACTTGTTGCAAACGCAGCATCTCTTGCCGTTCTGCCCCTACACGAATGACTCCTTGTTCCCAAATATCCCCATGACCCGTACGACCGACGCCCTGGCTTCGTCCTGTGAATCCCGAGCAGTCGTGCAACAGCCGCCTCCTACATTCGGCTGTAGCGAGACTAGGATTACTTTCTGCGAACAAGATGACGAGAGCGAAAGCGACCGCTATTGTAAGGCACTCGACGATCCGCCTGTCTCTTTCCCCGTCGTGTTCGCTGGCCGGGGGTTGGTCTTGGTAGTTTCTCCGTGGGTCTAAGGGAGGAGGGTCCCATTGCGCCAGTGGTTCAGTCGCGAGGTTAGTCTGGGGTGGCGGGTTCGTGATTTCCTGCGGGTGGCCTTGGAAACCAACACTCTCCTCCTCCTGTTGCATCCACAAACGCTGAGATCCCAACAAGCTATCGCTGGGCAGTGTACCAAAGCATTCGTCGATACTACTGGCCAAGATCGATGCCGTGTTCTGGAAACCTCCATGATTGCCAGACGGAATGTGTTGGGCCGGAAAAGGATGCCCTTGGGGTGTCGGGAACACATCGTCTGGATCTACATCAATGTTCCACATAAGCCAAACCGCCTCTCTGTAGGAAGCGCAGTCGGTCTCGTCGAAAATCACCTGCCACCTTGGGAGGTCTTGAACAAAGTCCGCTAGATAGTCCCTGTGGTGGCGGGCTTCGAAAGTGTCAACCATTGCCCGTGCGAGACATAGGAAAGCTATTGATTCGGCGAGGCTCTTGGGTGCTCTGCCGTGGATCAAGAGTCTCAATGTCCTGATTCCGAGATTCCATAACAAGCGGTAACTGGACAATTTCTGGCCAACCCCCCGAAAATTACCGGTTGAAAGACTGGCCTTTTCTTTCATAATCCCATGATGAACGAGAATACGATTCCGAAGATGGCGCATGTCTTCTTCGGTGGAGGGATTGACCGCACGTCGTGCAGCAACTCTCTTGGCCGTCGGTAACGTCCTTGGAAGCTTCCGCAACATCTTTTCAGCATTACCGAGATCAACGGTGCCCAGTTCCCCAATGTGCAAGCACTTGATGGCCATATGGACATGGGCGCCACGTTGAACCCTTGCGAGCGAGTGTTGCTTGCGAGCGAGTGTTGCCCATACTTGGCCGCAGCACTGAGCGGCGAACCGTTCTTGGCAATGCAGTTGACATCGCCGCCGTGTCCGAGGACAACATCTACCGAACTTTGAGATCCGAATCTTGACGCTGTAGTCAGGGCGTCGTTTGCATCGGCTCCTTGTCCAAGGAGAAACCTCACAGACGCTGTATCGTTGATCGAAGCTGCATAAACGACGAGATTATCAGGGCTGCATCCTCTTAAAAGATATTCTCTGACCATAAAAGCATTCTCCTCCACTGCCGAGATACTCAATGGTTCATTGAGAAGAGTTTCCCAAAGTCCTGTGCTAAACCTGGGGATCTCTTCGCGCACCATCCACGGGTCTAACCATAAGCGATAGGAGAATCTGTCGTCGGTGTGTATCCACGTGTGCGTAAAACCTTCCACTTCCTCCAGTGAATCCGGCCTCAAATGCTTTTGAAGGGGCTTGTCCAAGGTTCCAGCGAAGGCGTCAAAATCTTGGTGTGAGCGAAATGTCCTCTTCAACATTGACCTCAAACGAGTGATGGACGTCGAACAAAAGATGTCGTCCAAGCCTTCTTCGGTGGTGTAAATATTTTGCCGTGGGGCAGTGTCCAAGAGGGTTTCGTCGACAATTCCACGCTCCTTCAACTCCTCGCAGCCGAAGGAGCTTTTGATAAATTCCTCCCGTGAATCTGACACGAAACCCTGTCGAAAGGCCTCATTCAAGCCTCCAGCGCTGGCGTCAAGATTTTGGCGTGAGTACGTTTCCAAGAGGTCTTCGTCGATAATCCCGCGCTCTTTCAACTCCTCGTAGCCGAAGCTTTTGAACATGTCACCGTTGCAGAGAACTCGGCCTACGAGAAGCTCGAGCTCATGCAGTAGTGCTCCGGACCGTAGCCTGTACCAGCTCCAGCCACGCAACTCAGACAGGCGGTCCTGCAGAACAGCCCGGTGTTGAAGCAGAAGAAGCCCGTCAACAGATGAAGAGGTGCCAAAATCGACCCCCAGTTCTCCAAGTGTATCTTGGACGACGGAGAGTAGTGGCTTGCTGTAGAACGTGATGTGCATCTTCTCATCTGTCTTTTCCACCAAGAACACGGAAGCTGATGCTGCTTCATGACGGCGGCAAAGGCATTGTGATGTGCAGGGTTTGTCCGAATATTGGTTGATCCACGATCGCTCGCCAGAGGAGTCGCCCTGATACTGAGCACCGCTAGTAGTTCAAGACGGTCAGCCATAATTCGTACTGATCTCGGGAAACCATGATAGAGAAGGTATAATTACTCTGAAAGGACCTCCTTCAACCTGAACCATTTTTTTGAATGCTCGATATGGACAATTCTCTTCGTACTGTTTGTCGTCATCGGCCATGGCTGCAAGACTTGGCGGGTCTTCGGTATCAGCGCTCATGTCGTCAACTTCGGGGTCTGCCGAATCGTCCATAGGCGCTTGTCTATACTCTTCGAGTTTCTTATCGTGGCTTGCAAGCAAGGCGTCTGCAGTCATTTTCTTCCGCCGCAAGTATTTGTCGACTTTCCGTGACTTTGCTTGGGCCTCCCGAGCACCGCCGTCGCTCACCTGGCCCAGGAAATCCCTGACCCTTTCTTCCGTGTTGTATTTGTGGATTTCCCACTTCTTCAGGCGACCTTTGCACATCTTCTCACTTTGGTTTCTGTGTTAGTACACATCGGTCGATATTGCGATATTGAAGCGGAGGGAAAGGGGGCTTGGAAGAATACTCACTTGACATGGAAGCAATGCTTCTCGGAGAGTAAGTTGCACAACTTCCTTCAGACTGCGCTTGTCTTCGATGTAGAGGTGTCGGATAAGCGGTTGCATCTGATTCCACTCAGACTCCGAGTACCCTCGAGCGCGCTGAGCTATTCCTATGTCATGTTTCAATACTTCAGCCTTGTTTACGACTTTGAACGAGGGGATGCCTTGTCGACGTCGGAACAAAAGTCGCATGCATGAGATTCCTGGGAACCAATGGGATTGCCTACCACTGAAAGAGCCAATACTGGACGGCAATGGAGATGCAGCCGTTAGCGCCTAAACTTATCAGTTGTTACCTGACAAAAGTCTCATGCATGGTATTCGCCGAATAGAATCGTGCCGGACGAGCCATGAAAGGGGCTTGGCCAGCCCCATGGTATGCCTTACGGCGACCCAGATGATGACCTCAATGAATCGCTTGCATCTTTATGATTAGTCTTCTCAACCATTATTTCCCCCATTTCAGTATGCTCTCCTACTACGACGTCGTAGGCATTTAATACAAGGTCTTCGACGGATTACTGCGGTAATCGACGACTAGTTCATGCCAGGCATGTCCAAGATCACTATGGAACTTGCAAGCAGGTTTATAGACTCAACTGATGCAGGCTTGTCAATCTATGTACACTAGGCTGTCTGATGCTCTGAAATATTGCCCCCTGTTGAAGAGGGTATGCTTCGATAGCATACAACTCAAGAACATCCGAACTCCCGCCTCGCGCAGACCATGTGCCTGTCTAGCACCAACCTTAAACAGACCACAACCACGGTGCGTCAGGGTTACCAAGCCACTCAGCTAGAATCGTACAACACCACAGCATCTCTACCTATCCAGAGCCTGGCTTTGGCACTATATCAATGAAGTCAGCGATGGGTACGGGGGTCATGTAGCGTCGTGCTTTAGTGTCAAACTCACCATTTGCCAGTACACGCCTTGCATCTTCAGTAATTCCTGATGGCTGCCTTTTTCCACTACCTTGCCCTCCCCCAAAACAAAAATAACATCAGCGTTCTGGACCGTTGCTAGCCTGTGGGCGACACATATCATGGTGCGACCCTTGCTTGCACGCTCGAACGCAGCCTGGACCAGCTTTTCCGACTCAGAATCAAGTGATGACGTTGCCTCGTCGAGCAGGAGGATTTTCGGGTCGCGTATAAGGGCCCGTGCAATAGAGATCCGTTGCTTTTGACCTCCAGACAGAGAGAAGCCTTTAGAGCCAATGTCAGTCTCGTATCCTTCCGGTAAGGAGACGATAAAATCGTGGATGGAGGCATCGCGGCAGATCTGATGCAATCGCTCATCGGAAATCGTGTCTACATCAATACCAAGGCATATATTCTCACGAATAGTGCCCTGAAACATGCATGGCTCTTGGGCCACGAGAGATATGTTCTTGCGGTACTCAGCAGCATCAAGGCTATATATACTCTTGCCGTTGCACAGAACATCGCCTTTGTCGAGGCTATAGAAACGTTCCAGGAGGGAGATGACAGACGTCTTCCCACACCCCGATGGACCTACAAGGGCGGCAAACTGACCCTTGTTGATGGTCAAGTCAATGCCTGTGAAGACAGGAGTGTTACGGGTGGGGTAACGGAAGTGGGCATTCTTCAGCTCGATCTTGATGCCGCCTTCTGCGTCAGGGATCTGCTCCGTGGCGCCAGTGCCATCTTTTGTGTCTGCGTTGCGTAGACTGATGATCCGATTTGCAGCGGCTGAAGCTTGAGCTGCATTGGGACCATAGCTGAAGCCTGTTCCAGCGGCCTCGGCGCCCTGGATAACGGCCATAAAGCAGACGAAGAAGTTTACAAGACCATACTCGCGGCTGGCCAGAAGGCGTCCACCATACCAAAAGATAAGACCTTGGCAGCCCAGGCTCACGCTATCAGCCAAGCCAAAGAGCAGGCTGGTCCAGCGGGCTTTTCTATAGGCTTCGGACACGTGGCTCCGCAACAACCTGTCATACCTCGAGTGAATGACGTTCTCCATAGTCAGGGAAGTGACGGTCCTAAAGGCACCGATGGCCTCGGCGGCGAACCTGGAGCTCTCAGCAAACACGGCAGCGTTCATCTTCTCGAATTCGAGCTCGTATTTGAACTTCCAGTATCCAGCAAACAGACCGACAGGCATCGTGACGAACGTCGCGACTAGAGCTAGTTTCCACCCGAACGCGTAGGCGATAGAGAGTGCTCCTATAACGTTGAACACGGCCATCACGAGGGCCGACATGTTGAGTCCCAAAAGCTGCTCAAGCTGCTTAGGGTCGCCGGCGACGCGGGCAACAAGAGTGCCGAGCGAGTTCTCGTCGTCGTCAAAGAAGGCCGTCTTCTGGTGGAGGATGGACTCAAAGTACTCCTTTTTGTAGACGGCGCTGATCTTGTGCTGCACGTGGACGGCGATGGCTCCTTGGAAGAAATAGCCGAAGCCGACGCCGACGGCGAGTGCAACCCACATGAGTGACCAAAATTGGCCCTCTGAGCGGACCTTGTTGATGTCGGAATGGGTAAACACTTGGAAGATTTGAGCGAACAGCCAGGCCATCAGCGGAGTGCTGGCGGCGGAACAGGCGGCGAAGAAGGCGATTGCCATGTAGACCCAGCGGTTTTTCTGTTCTGCGAGGAGCCGGAAGAAGCTGTAAAAGACGTTTGGCTCTTTATAAGAAGACAGGGGTAACTCTTCACTGGCTTCCGGGGCGTTGGCACTCTTTGTTTTTGCCACAGCCACTCCTTGGTCTGAACTGGAATCTTCCCCAACGGTTACATCGTCAGCCTGGGTGGGTTGACCAAGTGACAGCTTCTGCGCATGGACGAGACTATGATATGCCCCTAATTCGTTCCGGAGGAGACTGTCGTGCGTACCCGATTCGACAACTTGTCCTTTGCGCAGGACTACGATCCTGTCAGCCTTCTTGATAGTCGACAGCCGGTGGGCAATAGTGATTGTGGTTCTATCCTTGGCAACCCGGTCAAGGGCGGCCTGCACGATCTTCTCGCCGCGAACATCGATGGCGCTGGTGGCTTCATCGAGGATTATGATCTTGGGCTTTCTGACAATGCTCCTGGCGATCGAAATGCGCTGGCGCTGGCCTCCAGAGAGCTTGGCGCCGCCGTCGCCGACGGCAGTGTCGTAACCGTCTGGGAGGCGGTCGATGAACTCGTCGGCAAACGCTTCATGGCATGCCTCCTTGACGAGCTGTCGCTTCTCCTCCTCGGAGGAATCTTCAAAAGGGGATCCGATCAAGCCGTAAGCGACATTGCGAAAGATTGTGTCGTTGAACAAGAACGGTTCTTGCTGAACAAGCCCTATCTGAGAGCGCCACCACTTGAGTTCAATGTCTGTAAGCGCTCTTCCGCCCGTCGTGATGCTTCCCGAGAGTGGTACGACAGGGTGGTTCTCCTCGACGCCGGTGTCTTCTTGATAGTCGACAAGTTCTGTCATATCTCCTTGTTTTTTCTTCCTGCCCTTCTTGCCACTTTTCTTCTTCTTGGTCTTGTCTTCTTCGGTTCCGTTGATCTTCTCTGCCCCTATCGTCTTCTCAATGATGTGCTGCTCCCGCAGGTCGTACCACCTCTCGACGAGACCGACGACGGTGCTTTTACCAGAACCAGAGGGGCCAACAATTGCTGTGTTCTTGCCCGCCTCAATAGTAAGGTTCAGGCCGTCCAAGATTTTGACATGTGGCCGGCTGGGATACGCAAATGTGACGTCCTTGAAAACGATGTCGTTGGTCGCGACGACATCTGGCTCCCTCAGACACCCATTTTCGGGCCGGGGAGCGTCGATGACGGCGAAGAACTCGCAGGCGGCCACCATAGCCCTGGAGACGGCCATAAGGGGACCCGAGAGGCGCTCGAGAGACATAATGATCATCATTACAGACATGAGAACGACAATGATGGTACCGGGGTTAGTCAGCTCGCCATCGGCAAACTGCTTGGTACCAAACCAGAAGCTGAGGCCAAAGACGGCATACGTACCGAAGAAGACAAGACTGAATTGTAGGGCTAGCAACGGTGCCGACCGCTGCCCCTTGGCGCGGGCATCATCGACCCATTCAGCATAGCGGGCGCTCATCGTTTTCTGAGCGCCGCACGCGGTCAGCATACGGATGCTGCTGAAGGATTCGCTGGCGACACTGTTCGCCTTGGCCTCGGACTTGGATTGCTGGTCTTGCAGCCGAACGATGAAGGGCATGAGGGTGCCGACAACGACCAGGATGAAGAAGACGAGCGAAGACGTCACCAGCGTCAGTTTCCAGCTCCAGATAAAAGCCACGATGATGGAGCACCAGATGGTGCCGTTGAACTCCATGAAGGTGCCGAGCTTCTCGGAGATGCCGATCTGGAGGGCGTTTGCCGTGCCGGTGATGGTGCTCGAGGCAGAGCCGGACGGCATCGAGTCCAGCACGTGGATGGACTGGCCGAAGAGAGACTCTATGTAGTGCAGGCGGATGGCGGAAGAGAGCCGGACGCCGATCATACGGAAGCAAAACTTGTTGATGCAGTTCAAGAAGAAACGACCAAGAAACAGACCCAAGATAAAAAGAGCCAGCTGGTTCAGCACGGCCTCGAACTCGGGCTTGGTCATGCGAGGGGGGTCCATGAAGTAATCAGTAAACTTCCCAGCGAGGCTTCCGAAGACGATGTTCATCAAGGGCATCGTGGTCCCGGCGCCGACGGACGCGACGGATGCGAGGATGTAAATGACAATGTCCCATTTCGTGGCGTACGAGAAGACACGAATAAAATCCTTGACGCCGGGTTCGCGCTCATGAAGCTTCCTAACCTCCACCACTTTTTCAAATCCTTCTTTCGACGACATGGAGTCTGCTCCCAGAGGAGGCTTCCCCATCATCAGAGTTGTCTGCTGTTCTTCGACGACCATCGTGGCAAGAGCCTGGCGTTGTGACGCCTTTTGCGGCCCAGTCGGCTCGTCTGGGTTTTCGCTCTTATGCAAAGCGAGAGAGGGAGAGGCGGTAATGTTGTGGTCTGTGTAAAGAAGCGAGGTAGCCCTGGGACGGGTGGTCGTGACGCTGCACAGGTCTGATGCGAAGAGGCAGAGAGAAACTCAGACAAGACAAATAAATCTGCAACGTTCCCATGTATATTAGGGAACAAGGATGGGGTCGGGAGAGAGAAAAAAGGTAAATTGTATGTAGCTTACACCAAAAAGAGGCTGGCAGAGGTAGAGGTGCGCAGGTGGTATATACGGGCCACTGAAGCAGATGTGCCACGCAGACGGAATGGAACGCAAGACCGAATTGTCCGATGCAACCACTAACCACAATGATGGTCTTACTGGTATACGTGAGTACGGGATGTGCATATACCAAGATCCAATCACGAGTTGTATCCCATCGCGAGTGGCGGGGCAGTGACTAGCATCTGGAGACGGGAAAGATCTTTACTCCGAGCCTAGCCTGACATCGACCTAGTGCTAACCAGTCACTCTGTTACGCATTCCTCTGTCCGCCTCCATGTCACAAAACAGGTTTAGTCTGTATAGCTGAAGATGAAATCCCTGTATAGTGTGTCGTACCCATCTCTCCTTGTCAAGACTTGAGTATGATGTTGAAGGATGAATTCGTCAACTACAAACGGCGACGCTGTAGACAGTCTGCGGATCAATGTCTCTCAACTTGTGGGGTTAGAGATAATACAGTGTAACTTCAGACGCTGCGTGGTCTGAGAGATTGAATGATTAGCAAACTCCTCCAATGTCGAGTATCATGAACGATGTTGAAAGATCGAGAACTGGGTTAAAATCTATGCATATGGACCTAACATTGAGGGGCTGTACTCATTCTTTGACTATGACGCACCGCACTCATCACGCGTATTCGATTCTTCGTCCATATCCACCGGGTCACGTGAATATATCTATAAGAGCTTGTTGGTCTGAAAATTTCCAGCGCGAAGTGGCGTCCCCTAATTATGGCTTAATTGTGATCGAATTCCAAGATCCATTCATCTCGGGCCGCCAACAAAAACTGAAGCCCGGAGTCCCAGGGCCCGGGATCCTCATGATCCCGAAACTCCTACGCCACCCGTTGTAGATGGCTGGTGGTACACTACACAAAGGCTTACAGTTGTTGCGACGACCGATGAATGATGTGAGAGGGTGGGTGGTTGAATGGGGGAAGGGATTGTGAAGAGGTATTGTGAGTGTAGGAGACGGAGTCTTCGGGGTACTGTTCTCCCATCTACTCTATCCCCAAGGGGGTTATCCAAGACGAAGGGTGCTATGGTTAGTAGACCAAGAAAGGGTACTCACGCATACAGGCAAAGGACTTTTGGGACCTGAGATGCCCAGAAGGGCAATGGAGGGCACGCTGACAACGGAGGGGAGAAAATACGGCACACGCGTAAGACGTCTGCTCTGAGACACATACATCATAATGCCTCGAATTACACAACACCTAGGTATCCCATACCGTTTGTGGGGTCGATCATCCTATGGTCTGAATCATGCAGCTCGTTAGCAAGCACTTAGAGGGTGCCCCACGGTAACGGGGCTGTCTCCCACCCCGAAGAATGCGCCGTGAAGGCTCTCTTATGTCTTAGCTCACTTAGTTGCGTTGCTTATCCTGGCGTCCCTGCCTCTATCCCGCACCCACGTCTGAATAAGCAGTCTGTAGGCCTCCGCATCCAAGGTAGATATGCTCGCTGAGACGGATGGTGAGACTTACTCGGAGCCTCGGACCTGCGTTTCCGCGACTCGAGCTCATTCATAACGTAGGGCGTGCAGAAAACTGGAAGTTAGATAGTATACATACCTACTCATGTGCAAATTTCTACTCTCATAATTTGGCCAATGAAGTGCATGCATATGGACTCTACGGGGGCATACATACATGTACAGCAGCAATGATATGGTATCCTCCTTGCCGATTTTCTGTAGCCACGTACCGAATCCGGCTGGGTCCACCACCTTTGAAGAGTGTTTTGCAAACGACTATACTCCTCTTAGATTAGAACCCGTGCGTCTGGTAGACGCTGAAAAGAAGCAGACGGAATTGCTGGCCCTTCTACATTGTTGAATTTCCAACGCAACCTCCTTTGGTGATAGGAACACCCGGCGAGGGCTTTTAGTCCATGGCCTTACACGGTTCTCAGCCATTAGTGGAATCGTATCGATGGGAGCAATGTCTTATATAAGAGCCCAGCAAGGTATAAGAACCTGAAAATCTAATACAAGAGTACAACAAGCACGCTGATGGCCCGGAACCACGGCCAAGAGAGGCTAGGAATATAAAAACAAAACCAATGAAGAGGGGTTCCCAGAAAACAAACAAAGACTGCAATATAGACATCGGAAACCCCGTTAAAGACAACCAAATAACGCCTCAGCGCCTACAACGGCCCGACGTGATCCTTCCACAAAGATCCCAAGTGCGTATCGTGACCTTGGCAAGGTAATGATACAAGAAGCTTTCCAAATTCCCGGACTGCTTGTGACAATGTGATTATCGGTTCGGTACCCACGAGTCAACAGGTGTGAAACTCGAAAATGGAATGCTGATGCCATTCCGTCATATGTGAGAACTCGCAACTCCTGGGCAATGTAGACAACAGTGCTCTGTTGAGAGAAGAATAGGAGCGAGCAGTAACCTCGTTTACTTTGAAGAACTGGCCGGTGGCAGATGTATCCGATACCTGGCCTTCGTGCATATTGCTGTTGTGGTTCAAGGTAGATTAACTTTGCTTCTTGTTTTCGGTGGTTGCAACATTGGCGTGGCCATTGGATGTATGCTGCGAGCTGCCATTGACCGAGTGCTCCCCGTTGCCGTTGAACGTCTTCCTTGCGTCTCCGTTTGCCGGCTTAGGTGGCGAGCCATGCGCGATGGAGCTGAGCGTCTGGATCTTGTCACAGAGACTAACCAACATGTTGTCGACCGTCGACTCGTCGCAGAGTCTGCGGTTCGCCATGACGATAACCCGCAGATGTGCCCCGTCAGCATCGGGGATTCCCACGAGGTCCATGTCATGCGTGGAGATTTCGTCGGACATGAATCTTTCTACGGTGGGGTCCAGCCCGATGGCCTCACGCGGTTGAACCTTTCGGGGGAGGTTGCTCAGCTGGATTCGCTCGTCTCCGTCGCCGCTGTGGGGGTGCCGGTTGAGGTTAAGGTAGGAAGTAGAGCAGCTGAAGTTATCCACCGTCTTCGGCCATTCTGTGCAGTTGTCCCTGATGTCGTCTAGGCCCAGCGTATCAAAGGGCAAACTGTCGATGTACTGCTGCTGCACCTTGCGGAGCATTGCCCTCGGGTCGGCGGCCGCGTCAAGGACGACCCGGACCGGGACTGTGTTGGAGCAGAAGCCGAAGACGCTCTGGCAGCTGATAGGGAGGCATTGCCGCCCCGATACCACGTAACCGAGGACGACGTCCTTTGTCCCGATCTGGTCGCCCAGCACGAAAGCGGACGCCGTGTTGAAGACCGTCGCCGACGTGATACCGTCCGCGCTGGCCTGGATCGGCGTCTCGATGGTCTTCTCCGACAGCCAGACGCCGTCCGGGACTTCGTGGCCCTCGCCGTGGTGACGGCCGGTGCCGTCCGCGCCCGTCCAGAACGTCATTGACGAACCCTGTAGAACCGAGCGCCAGAACTTGTAGCCTTCCTCGCGGGTATTCATCATATGCTGGACGAAGCTAGAAAAGCTAGGCTGCGGCGGCAGATGCTCGCCAATGTAAAAGGCGTGGAGGCCGCGCATGAGGGGCGGCAGGCTGAGGCCGTCATACAGCGCGTGGTTCATCCGCAGCGCCATGCGCACGGGGGCGCCTTGCTTCTTAAGAATACCAATGCGATAGAATGCGTGCCCCAGGGTGAACGGTTCGCGGATGTCCAAGTCCTCGAGGGCGCGGGTCGCGCTGGTAAGGTCTCCCTCGACATGGATCATCTCGGTGGGCACCTTCAGGTGGCCCAGAACCACCTGGTAGAACTTGCCGGAAGCCGGCAAAAACACGGATCGGAAGACGTCAAAGCTCCGGACCATGGCGGCAGCGCACTCGGTGACCCTCTTGAGGTCCGCGCTGGCGGGGAAGTCGATGATGAAGAGGGCCGGGTCACGCGGCTTTCCCGTGAAGGAGTCTTTGATAAAGGTCCTCTGCGACCACGTCACGGGGTAGGAGTCCAAGATCTTGCCGTAAGAGGGATCCAGCTGGGGGGCGAGCTCTCGCTGGACGAAGCCCTCCGGGTCTTCCTGCGAGAGGAGCTGGAAGGGCTCACTATTTACCGCCTCCGATGTCCCTTTGCTGGGGCCGTCGAGCGCGGCTTGCGTGATCTTGATGGCGAGATCGGCAGGGGACGGCTTGTCAAAGATGTCCTTGACGGTTACGTTGATGCCCAGTCGCCGGCTGATGCGCGCGGCGAGCTTCGCCGCCATGAGCGACTGTCCGCCGAGGTCGAAGAAGCTGTCAGTGATGCCGGTCTCGACGCCGAGCTCGTCGGCGAACTCTTCGCACAACGCCTTCTCGACCTCGTTGCGCGGCGCAATGCGCTCTGAGGGCGGCTTACTGACCGGCGCGGCTCGTGCCTTGCGCGTGAGCTCGCGCCGATCGACTTTGCCGTTGGCGTTGACGGGCATCTGGTCGAGGGCAATGATCTGGGCGGGGATCATGTAAGACGGGAGCAGGGTCTGAAGTTGCTCACGGATCTGCGCTTCCACCTTGCGGCTCTGGAGGCGCTGGAGAGGACGATTCGTGAGCAGGCTCGCCGGCCGGCCCTGATGCTCCGTGGGAAACTGGACGAGGACGCGTAATCCCTTCTTCTCGGGTTGGTGACGGTGGAAGACGGCATCGATGCCGCCCTTCTGGGACCGCTGCCGGGCCCAGCTGAGCTCCACGCGGAATCCGGCTGCCTCGCCGATCTGAACCAGATCCAGAGGAGACAGAGCCACGCGACGCTCAGCGGCCTTTTGGATGTCCGAGATCCAAGTTGCGCCGTCGACGCCGTCCTGTGCGTCGTCATCGTCCTGCTCGAGGGATTCAACCAGCAGCCGCTCGAACATGGTTTTGCTGTAAGGGATATTACCGACGGCGATGGCGGATGCGTTCGGCGAGCCCTGCAACAGAGCAAGAAGGCCTTGATGATCCATCGATGACGCTTGGAAGTCGACCCAAGCGTCGGGGTCGACTGGGTGTACGGTCTGATTTGGCGATTCTGTGCCTCGTACGTGTAAGACGGCGCTGTACCGGTATCTGCTGAGCTCGTTGGTGGCCTTCATCCTCTTGGGTAGGATTTCCACGTGCCAGATGCGTTCTGGCATACGGGTGAGGAGCCCCGTGAAGAAGGCCGGGTCGACGAGGAGCTCTTCCTCGTTTTCTTCCAACTCGGTGATCTTTTGACGAACGCCGCCTCTCGTGATGTTTTCTCCCAAGGAATGCAGGGCTCTGCCCGCAAGAAAGCCCTTATTCGTGGCGTAGGTCCGCATGTCGCCAAAGAACAGACGCTTTACCCCCGGTAGTCGTGTAAGTGTCTCAATAACCTCCAGGAGATAGTTGGCCGAGGGGAAGTATTGCGCAACCGAGTTGATGACGACCATGTCGGTGCGGCTTTGGGTTACCTGGTCCAACCGGCCTGCATCCATGGCCGTGCCGACAAGCACCTGGGCCTTTTCGGCAAACGATGGAGAAGCCTTGATGCTGTTGTTCACGAAGGCCGCGGCCGAGCTGGATGGCTCAAGACCTATGTAGTTCTCCAAACCCCGACCAAGATTGAACAGGATCATGCCGGTACCCGTACCAATTTCGAGCACGCGGCCAGCTGGTTGGCCGTCCAGCAGGGCTGCTATGCCCTCGTCAAGCCATTCCTGCATCTCCGCCTTGTCGATCAAAGTGCCGTCGTACATGGACGTCCAGCCCAAGAAGTCATTGCCGATGACGGACTTGTCGATTGTTTCGATATCTGCGTACGTCCCGATCTCGAAGTGGGTTCCCCAACCCTCCACCTGCTTGCTTGAGTCGTCCTGGACGGACTGGTCCTCCTGGACGGTGACGAAGCCGACCATTTCCTGGTCCTGGCCGGGCGTGCTGCGAATAACGATGGCCGCGTCGCGGACGACCGGATGCCTCAGCATGGCAAGCTCCACTTCGGCGAGCTCGATCCGGTGCCCGCGGATCTTAGTCTGCTGGTCGATGCGGCCGAAGAACTCGATCTGCCCGTCCGATGGCCGGTACCGAGCGCGGTCTCCGGTCCGGTATACCCGGACAAGACGACCTTCGATGGTGACGTACATGAAGCGGTTTTTATCGAGCGCGTGGTCTGTGTATCCACGAGCAAGGCCGTCTCCAGTCACAACGAGCTCACCCATCACGCCGATAGAGACCAGTTGCTGGCGTGAGTCCATGATATAAACCCCGGAATTGCTCACGGCCCGACCAATAGGCACGCCATGTTCAAACAAGTCGCCCTCCTTGACCTTATAAATGGTACTCGCAACACTGTTTTCCGTGGGACCATACGCATTATAGACGCCAGTCTTTACGAGGGCTTTAGCATCTGTAGCGTCCAATGGGTTCAGTCGATCTCCGCCCACGTAGAGGATCTCCAGGTCGCTCAGAGTGCTTGGAGTGTTTATAATGCACTGTTTGAGCAGTGCTGGCGAGAGCATAGCCACACGAATGCTTTCGCGGGCAAACACAGCCCCAAGGGCCCGGCTATCCAAAGTGGTATAGTAGTCGATACAGACAAGGGTAGCGCCGTTAAGGAGGGCCGTGTACATTTCCCAGGCTGAGGCATCAAAAGCAATATTTGAGACGTGGGCGATCGTTGTTTCTTCCGGAAGTTCCCGTACGATGTTGCTCTGCTTCACCAGGCGGACGATACCGCGGTGTTCGACCATGACGCCCTTAGGCCGGCCAGTAGAGCCTGAAGTGAAGATGACGTATGCAAGACTTGTTGCTGATGGGAAAGAAACGCTTGCTGGAGGCTTGGTCGACGGTTGACGCGATGAAGCAATGGCGCCACCCAAAGGAACAAATCGGAGGTTAGACAGACGGACATTAGGCGTGGAAACGTCGTCGCCGAGGAGAACCAGAGTAAGCCTGGGGACGGCTGATAGAATCGACTCAAGACGCGCGGCGGGGACGTTGATGTCAAGTGGGAGATACGCAAGGCCGGCCTTCAAGATGGCGAGGAAAGCAACGACGGTCTGGCAAGATCTTGGAGCAAGCACAGCTACAAGCGTCTCGGGCTCCATTTTCCGTAGCCGGAGCCAGGCGGCGAGTCGATCCGACGTCTCGCTGAGCTGAGCGTAAGTCATCTGAGTTGAGGCGTCCTTGACAGCGACCCGGTGCGGATGAGCAGCCACCTCGTCGAGGAACACGTCGACCACACTGGATTGTCGGGGGTAGTCGGTCTTTTCAACCTCGAGCAGACCCATGCTTCGCAACGCCGCCAGCCCATTGGTGAGAGGAAGGCTCGAGATAGGTATCTCGGGCTGCGCCAGACCCCGTTTTAGGATCTCCTGGAAGGTATCCACGAGACACTGAATGGTTTCTGGCTCGAATAGATCGGCAGCGAAGAGCGCGTTGCCGGCTAGACATGCCTCCTCTTGGAAGAGGTGAAATTCGAGGTCGAAGCGGGTGGTGACAGCTACGGGGAGCGGTTCGCTGGCAAGGCCCTCGAGCTTGATGCGGCCGAGGTCCTGCTGCGAATGGACAGCGAACATGAGTTGTACCAGCGGGTTCCGGGAGGTATCCCTTGAGCCCGGGAGAAGCGCCGAGACCACGCGTTCGAAAGGGACATCCTGGTTTTCAAAAGCAGCCGTCGTCGTGATGCGGACCTGCTGGACGAGACCGTCAAAGGATTCATCATCAACGACTACCCTCATACACTGTGTGTTGACAAAGAAGCCGATCAACTCTTCCAATTCCGGTCGGTTGCGGTTGGCCATGGGTGTCCCGATTGTGGCGTCTTCCACGCCCGTCAAGCGAAAGTGCGCGGCGCGGAACGCAGCCAGGAGGACTGCGAATGGAGTGACTTGACGTGTCTGGCAGAAGGCCTGGAGGCTTTCGTAAAGAGGACCGTCGATCTTGGCCTGGATGACGCCACCTTTGCCAGAGGGCACTGCTGGGCGTGGTTTATCGCAGAGGAGCTCCGCAGGCGAGCTGTCAGCTAGTTGCTTGGTCCAGTACTCTAACTGTCTCTGATGTTCGACGACCTGTTCCTCCGTCTTTTGCCATAGCGAAAAGTCGCGGTACTGGATGGGGAGAGGCGTCACCTCGGGATCCTGACCTCGGAGTGCGGCGGCATAGAAGATTGCTAGCTCCCTGCGAAGGATATCGACGGACCAGCCGTCTGAGATGATGTGGTGCATGACGATGGAGAGGATATGGTCCTCCTTACCTAGACGGAAAAGCGCCACTCTCCATCCCGGTTCAGAGGTCAAGTCGAACGGGGATTGTTGCTCCCGCTGCAGAAGGGGGAAGGGTCCATCGGGGCTCTCGTGCGAGATATCCATGACCCTGAGCGGCCTGGAGTTGCTGGGGTTTACTATTTGTACGCCGACGCCGCCGTGCTCCTCAAAGGTGGTTCGAAGCGTCTCGTGCCGTTGTTCCACCGCGCGTAACGCCGTTTGCAGAGCCTCAATGTTAATTGGCCCTCGCATGCGCGCGGAAATAGGCATGATATACCATGATCCGCTGATGTTGAGCTTCTCCAGGAACCAGAGACGCCCTTGCGCAAAGGACTGCTCAACAGGCCCCGTGTAGGGTGTTGATTTGATCGCGTTATGAAGCATAGACCCTTGACGAATCCCGGCCGCGAGATCAGCTACAACAGGACGATCGAAGACATCTTTAACGGAGATATAGGCATCTAGGCGGCGGCTGATACGGGCCGCCAGCTTCGTTGCCATGAGGGAATGCCCACCCAGGTGAAAGAAGTTATCAGTGACGCCGACTTCAACCCCAAGTAGGTCTGTGAACTCATCGCATAGGGCCTCTTCTGCTTTGTTGCGCGGCGCAACACGAACTGCAGCAGCACTTCTCCTGGACACAGTGAGGGCCATCCGAGCGAGCTCGCGGCGGTCGACCTTGCCGTTTGCGTTCAGCGGCATTCGAGCGAGCAGGATAATCTGCGACGGCACCATGTAGGGTGGAAGCAGGGCGCGAAGACGCTGGTGAACCTCCCTTTCAACGTCCCCAGCAGATTGTTCTTCCGTTCCGAGACGCTCGGCGTGCGAGGCAGAGGAACCGTTGGCCTGCCGCTGGGCCGTGACGAAGCCCACAAGCTCTGAATCCTGACCTCCTTGTTTCCGAACGACGACGGCAGCGTCATGGACGGTGCTGATGGTAAGAATGGTCTGCTCTATCTCGGCCGGCTCGATCCGGTGGCCTCTGATCTTGGTTTGCTGATCCATGCGCCCGAAGAACTCGATCTGGCCGTCGCCGGGTCGGTATCGTGCGCGATCGCCAGTGCGATAGGCCTTGATGGACTGCCCGCCAACATGGACTTGCACGAATCGGTCCTTTTCCAGTGAAGAATCAGTATAGCCCCGGGCGAGGCCATCTCCAGTCACGACCAGCTCGCCTATAGTGCCAATGGGGGTGAGCTGTTGCAGAGCATCCATGACATAGGCCCCGGAGTTGCTGATAGCCCTCCCGATAGGGACACCATTGATACAGCGCTCGTCTTCACCCATATGGTAGAGAGTACTGTAGGTTGTATTCTCGGTTGGCCCGTACACGTGGTAGAACCTTTGCCGGACTAGTTCGCGCGCTCTGAACGCATCCTTTGGCCGCATCGTTTCACCTCCAGAAAGCAGCAGATCCAGGCCACTGATGACCGATGGCGCCTCCTCGAGAACCTGCCTCAAGAGAGCAGTCGTAAGGAAGGCGGCTGTGGCGCCGTTTGCTACAAATGCCTGGCCGAGCGCAGTAGGGTTCAGCACCGACATGTGATCGATGCATACCACTGTGCCTCCGTTGAGGAGCGGTGTATAGATCTCCCATGTAGCGGCGTCGAAGGCAAGATTTGAGATGTGGAAGACCGTCATAGCTTTCAGCGGATGCGTCACATTCGACGACTTGACGAGCCGCACGATGCCGCGGTGCTCGACCAAGACGCCCTTCGGCCGGCCGGTCGAGCCAGACGTGAAGATGACGCAGGCGAGGTTTGTGGCAGCGACCTGGGTGTACTTTCGGGCGCTGGAGGTGCTTGCGGTCTCTCCTTGGCTCAAGGCATGACTGATTTGTACCTGTTCCATCTCTGCAGACTCGGTCGGAAGGGGGGAGACACCGGTGCCGAGCAAGACCAATTTGTGTCCGGGAACCGATGACAAGATGGCCTCAACACGGGCAGCGGGAACGTTGACATCCAGCGGGATATATGCGAGATTAGCCTTGAGAATGCCGAGGAACGTGGCAACTGTCTCGCACGAGCGCGGCGCGAGTACCGCGACCATCGTTTCGGGTGCCATCTGTCGCTGTCCAAGGTAACTAGCGATTTGGTTGGACTGCTGGTACAGTTGACGATACGTGAGAGAGGACGATGCATCAGAGACGGCCACTGCGTCCGGACGAGCTATGACTTGCTCGTTAAAGATATCAACGACGCTTGCATTGCGCGGGTACTCTGGAGTATCCATGTCGAGCAGGCCCATCTGGCGCATCTGCTCACCGAGTCCCCGCTGGGCAAGCGGAAGTCCTGCAATCGGCACTTCCGGCTGCTCGAGGCCTTGGAACAGGACTTCCTGGAAGATGTTGACGATGCCGCGGATGGTCTCCTCCTCGAAAAGGTCCGTGGAGAAGACAACGTTACCACCCAAGCAGCCTTCATGCTGGGCCATGTAGACCTCTGCATCGAACCGAGTGGTGGGCTTTATCGACAGAGGCTCACCCTCGAGCTCGCCCAGCCTGATCTTTCCAAGGTCTTTCTGCGCGTGAAAGGTGAACATGAGCTGAACCAGGGGGTTGCGGGACGTATCTCTGGACCCGGGCAGGAGAGTAGAGACGATACGTTCAAATGGCACATCCTGATGCTCAGAGGCGGCCGCCACTGTGGACTGAACCTGACTAACCAGGTCTTTGAAGGTGCCCTTTTCGGTCACAGAAGTTCGTATACACTGCGAGTTGACGAAGAAGCCAATCATTTCCTCAAGCTCTGGTCGGTTGCGGTTGGCGATGGGCATGCCAATGGCGGCGTCCTCAACACCAGTGAGGCGGTAGTGCGTAGCTCTGAAGACTGCAAAGAGGGCACTGAACAGCGTTATCCGATGGTTCCGGCAGAAAGACTGCAGCCGCTCATATACGGCCCCGTCAATCTTGAACGGGACGACACCGGCATCGCCAGATAGCTTCGTGGGTCTCGGCTTGTCGCATAGCAGGCTGGCCGGCTGGCTGCCATCGAGCTGGCCTTTCCAGTATGCCAGTTGTTTCTCTTGCTTGGCCGCCTGTGTCGGTTGTTTCTGCCATAGTGAAAAATCACGGTATTGGATAGGGAGAGGTGAGACTTGCGATGAGGGGTCCTTGCCCTCGACTGCAGCAGTGTAGAACGTAGCCAGCTCGCGCTGCAAAACATCGAGGGACCAGCCATCGCATATAATGTGATGCATCACGATGGACATGACGTGGTCCTGGTTTCCGAGCCGAAGCAGGGTGACTCGCCAGCCTGGCTGAGAAGACAGATCGAACGGTGTCTTTTGGTCCTTCTCCAGCCGCTCCATGAAGTCTTCTCCCGCCGGCACGTCGACGATGTTGAGGTTTCTGGCTCGAGCCGGCCGGACGACTTGCAAACCGACACCCTCACGGCCTTGAAAAGTCGTCCGGAGACTCTCGTGGCGCTGCTCGAGAGTATGCAGCGCGGCTGTGAGGGCTTCGGCCTGCAGCGGCCCGCGGAGTCGTACGGCAAGGGGAACGAGGTATCCCGTCGAGCCAATGTCAAGCTGTTCGAGGAACCAAAGGCGCCCCTGGGCAAAGGATTGCTCCACGGGACCGGAGTATTCGCTCGCCTCGATAGGCTTGTGTTGAGTCGAGTCCCGCTGCAGCTGGATCGACGCGGCCAAATCGACAATGACCGGCTTATCGAAGACGTCCTTCACCGAGACCCTGGTGTGGAAACGCCGGCTCAGGCGTACCGCGAGCTTCGTTGCCATTAAAGAGTGCCCGCCAAGGTCGAAAAAGCTGTCGGTTGTTCCGACCTCGACGCCAAGCACGCTCGTGAACTCTTCACACAGGGCGGCCTCGATATCGTTCGTTGGCGCGGTGCGCTCCGAGATCTCCTTGCTGTTGCTCTTTGGCGCTGCCTCGGCCTTGCGCACAAGCTCGCGGCGATCGAGTTTGCCATTGGCATTGACGGGCATCTGATCCAGCACGATGATCTGGACGGGCACCATATAGGACGGGAGAAGGGCCTGCAGCCGTTGCAGGATCCTCTTTTCCGTCTGGACGGCAGCGTCGCCGTCTGAAGAGACGCCATCGACGACAACGAGACCGACAACTTCACCCTCCTCCGCGCCCTCGGGCTTGCGGACGACAACAGCCGCGTCGAGAACTGCTTTCTGGGCGAGCATGGCATGCTCAATCTCCGCCGGCTCGATGCGGTGGCCGCGGACCTTGACCTGGTCGTCGATACGGCCGAAGAATTCCATCTCCCCGTCTGGCCGGTACCGAGCGCGATCGCCGGTCCGGTACGCCCGGATAGGCGGCTGGCCATCCCCGAGGGTAACTTCCACGAACCGGCCCTTGTCCAGCGCCGGATCGGTGTATCCCCTGGCGAGGCCGTCGCCCGATACGACGAGTTCTCCCATGACACCGATCGGCACAGGATTTTGACGTACATCCATGATATAGGCGCCAGAGTTGCTGAGAGCATGACCGATGGGAACGCCGTTGACGTACTGGGCTTTCTTGCTGATCTTGTGCATCGTGCTGAGGACCGAATTCTCCGTCGGTCCGTACGCATTGTAGACGCTTCCCGATGCTGATATAAGAGATCTGGTTCTGATTGCGTCGTGGGCGTCGAAGCGGTCGCCACCGGAGAGAACAAGCTTGAGCGAAGCCAGCATTTCCGGCACGGTGGCAAGGTACTGCTTGAGCAAGGGGGACGGGAGAATCATTGCCTCGACCCGTTCGCGTATGAACAAGGCCGCCAGGGCCTTTGGGTCCAGGAGGGTGAAGTAGTCTACACAGATCATGGTGCCTCCATTCAGAAGGGAACCAAAGATCTCCCAGACGGAAATATCGAATGCCAGGTTGGACATGTGCGCCACGCGAGCAGCCGGGGGTAAATCAGCCACGCAATTGGTGTTCCTAACCAGACGCACAATGCCACGGTGCTCTATCATGACGCCCTTTGGTTTGCCGGTTGAGCCCGAAGTGAAGACGACGTAGGCAAGGCTCCTTGCGGACGGCTGCGACCCGGCGGCACCTTGAGTGGCGTGTTTTCCCTTGAGTGCTTCGCCGACCCGAACCAGCTCGACGTCTGGAAGCGGTGATTCGGGAACGGGAACACCGGCGCCTAGGAAGAGAAGTTTACGCCCTTGCAAACTCGATAGGATGGCCTCGAGGCGAGGTAGAGGCACTTTGATGTCCAGCGGGAGGTATGCCAGGTTTGCCTTGAGGATACCCAGCAAGGCCACAGTGGTCTCACACGACCGCGGCGCCAGGACACCGACGATCGTCTCGTCAGGCAGGCCCCGGAGTCGTAGCCATGCAGCGAACTTGTCGGATTGCCGATCTAACTCTGAATAGGTCAGTGTCGAGGAAGCGTCAACAACAGCTGGCGAATCAGGGTGTCTGCGCGCCTGCTCGCGGAAGAGCTCGACCACGCTGGCGTCCCTGGGGTATGCTGTCTTCGGGATTGTTAGCAAGCCCATATTTCGAACCTCGACTAGGCCGTCTGTGAGTGCGAGTGAAGAGAGGGCGGCCTCTGGCTGCTCGAGGCTGCGACGCAAAATCTCTTGGAACACATCCACTACGACACGGATAGTGTCAGGACTGAAGAGGTCAGTGGCGTACACAATGCTACCCGTAAGCCGGTCCTTTTCCTGGAACAAGTGGAATTCCATATCAAACCGTGTTGTCGCTGCGTTGGGCAGACGCTCGCTGGATACGTTGTCCAGCTGAAAGCTACCAAGGCCCTGCTGGGTATGGACGGCAAACATCAGTTGCACCAGCGGGTTCCGCGAAGTATCCCTGGATCCGGGCAGCAAAGCCGACACAATGCGCTCAAAGGGCACATCTTGATTCTCGAATGCCGTGTTGACGGTGGCCCGGACTTGCTGGACCAGGGATGCAAAGGTCTCATCTTCTTCCTCGACGGTGATACGCATGCATTGCGTGTTGACGAAGAAGCCCACCAAGTCCTCGACTTCGGGCCTGTTACGGTTGGCGATAGGTGTACCTATAGTTGCATCTTCAACGCCTGTCAAGCGGAAATGGGTAGCCCGGAATGCGGCCAGGAGAACTATGAACGGCGTAGCCTGGCGAGCGCGGCAGTACGCCTGGAGGTTCTTGAATGTGGAACCCTCGATAACAACAGAAGCGAGACCAGCGTCGCCGGTCTGCGCAGTCGGCCTGGGTTTATCGTTGAGCAGACTTGCCGGCTGGCTGCCCTTGAGCTGCTGTCGCCAATATGATAGCTGACGCTCATGCTCAGCGACCTGGGCCTCTTGCTTCTGCCAGACTGCGAAATCCCTGTACTGGATAGACAGCGGCTGTATTTGAGCCAGGGGATCTTGGCCCTGAACTGCGGCTGCGTAGAATGCCGTCAGTTCCCGCTGGAGGATCTCAAATGACCATCCATCGTAGATTATATGGTGCATGACGATGGATAGGATGTGATCCTGCTCGCCTACGCGGAAGAGCGCCGGCCGCCAGCCGGGTTCGACACCAAGGTCGAAAGGAGTGTTTTGCTCCTCGCGGAGTGCCTCGGGATAGTCTGCTGGCACATTAATCACCCGGAGCTCCTTGGACTCGTACGGGTGAACGACCTGGACTCCAACACCGTCATGGTCTTCAAACGTGGTGCGCAATGTCTCGTGGCGCTGCTCGAGAGCACCGAGTGCTGCAGCGAGCGCGTGGACCTGTAGCGGACCACGCAGACGTATCGCAAGAGGCATGACATACCACGATGCTCCAAAGTCGAGCTGGTCGAGGAACCACAAGCGACCTTGGGCAAATGACTGCTCAACGGGGCCGGTATAAGGCGTGGGCTTGATGGCGTTATGCTTGCTGGAACCCTGTCTGATATTGGCAGCCAGGTCGATGATGAGGGGATTGTCAAAGATGTCCTTGACGGAGATGCGGGTGTTCAACCGTCGGCTGAGGCTTGCGGCAAGCCTCGTGGCCATGAGGGAGTGGCCTCCAAGGTGGAAGAAGTTGTCCTTGATTCCCACGTCGGCCCCGAGGATCACGGAGAATTCCTCGCACAACACAGCCTCAACCTCGTTGCGCGGCTCTACGCGCTCGGATGACAGGACCTTTGTACTCGGTGCCGCCTTTGCCTTGCGCGTCAGCTCACGACGGTCGATCTTCCCGTTGGCGTTGAGAGGTAGCTGATCCAGCGCCACGATCTGGACCGGAATCATATACGGGGGTAGCACGGTTTGGAGGTGTTCCCGGATCTGCGTCTCGAGACGCAGACTCTGGTTCCGTTGCAGGGGCCGGTTCGTGAGCAGACCGGATGGTCGTCCGTCGTGTTCCGTCGGGAAGCCGAAGAACACTCGGGAGGAGTGATTGCTGTCGAGCCGGTGGCGATGGAACACGGCATCCAGCGCTCCGTTCTGGGACCGTTGGCGGGCCCAGCTCAGCTCGACGCGGAAGCCGGCCTGTTTGCCGATTTCGACGACATCTGCCGCAGAAAGGGACGCGCAGTTCTCTGCTGCGCTGCAGATCGCCGAGACCCAGGCCGCACCATCGACATTGCGTTGTGTCTCTTCGTCGTCGTCCAACGACTCGACTAGGAGCCGCTCGACAATAGTCTTGCTGTAGGGAATATTGGCTACAGGAACGGTCAAGACATCGCTCTTCGACCTCTGGAGCAGGTCTAGGAGCCCGGACGAGTCCAGCTTGGCCTTTTTGAAATCGGTCCACGCGTCGGCAGCGATGGCGTGCACAGGTTGCTGGGGCTGCTCGTCCTCGGAGCCTCGCACGTGAACAACGGCCGTGTATCGGTAGGCGCTGAGCTCGTTGGTGGCCTTCATCTGCTTAGGCAGGATCTCTACGTGCCATACATTGTTGGGGAGGCGGCCGGTAAGGCCGGTGAAGAAGGCCGGGTCAATGAGCAATTCCTCTTCGCGTGCTTCCAGCTCGGCCACCCGGAGCCGGACCCTTTCCCGGGTCGCAGCCGGGCCGATTTCGCGGAGTGCCCTCGATGCCAGGAAGTCTCGGTTTATGGCGTAGGTCCGGACGTCGCCGAAGAATAGACGTTGAACGCCGGGGATGCGGACCAGATGCTCCATCACCTGGAACAGGTAGTCGGCTGACGGGAAGTACTGAACGACCGAGTTGGTCACAACCAGGTTGGCCCGGACATGGAGCTCTGCCACGTCCATCGCCGTGCCGACTTGAACCGTGGCCTTGTCGACAAGGGACGGAACTGACCTGATGTTTCTGTCGACGAATGCGGCCGCAGAGCCGGAGGGATCGAGTCCGACGTAGCTCTCGAGGCCCTTGAGGTTGAAAAGGATCATACCTGTGCCAGTGCCGATCTCCAGGACGTGGCCGGCCGGCTGTCCATCGTGGAGCGCCAGCATTGTGTCATCGAGCCACTCCTGCATCTCCTTCTTGTCGATCTCGACCCCATCATACATAGACGTCCAATTCAAGAAGTCGTTACCGACCTCGGGTTGGTCGATGGTCTCGATGTCGGCATAGGTGTCCGTCTCAAAGTGGTTGCCCCAGTCTTGGACCTGGTTCCTGGCCTCATCCTGCTCCAGGGACTGATCGCCCCGGGCCGCCACGAAGGCGACCATTTCCGTCTCTTTGCCTTCCTCCCGGCGGAGCACGACAGCGGCATCGAGCACGTCAGCATGGTTGAGCAGCGCCTGCTCGACCTCGGCTGGTTCCACGCGGTGGCCACGGATCTTGACCTGCTGGTCCATCCGTCCAAAGAACTCGATTTGCCCATCTGTGGGACGGTGGCGCACGCGATCACCGGTGCGGTACGCCCTGAGAACCTTATCATGGATTGTCACCTCTGCAAAGCGGCCCTCGTTGAGGGATGCATCGGTATAGCCACGAGCCAAACCGTCTCCCGTAACAACAAGCTCGCCCATCACACCCGCAGGAACGGGCTGCTGGTTAGTATCCAGTATATAAGCGCCAGAATGACTGACGGACTTGCCGATGGGGACGCCGTTGACGAATGAGTCCATCTCAGACAACTCGTAGATGGTGCTGATGACCGTGTTTTCAGATGGTCCGTAGGCGTTGTACACGCTGCCTCGCACTAACGCCTGTACCGCCGCAGCATCGTGGCCGTCGAATCTGTCGCCTCCAACGAGCAAGACATCCAATGCGCCGATTGCCGCAGACATCGGCTTGATACACTGCTTCAGCAACGCGGGTGCCAGTATGGTCACCTGGATCTGCTCCTTGGCGAAAAGGGTGTTGAGGGCTGCGGGATCCAGGGTGGTGAAGTAGTCGACGCAAACCAAGGTGCCGCCGTTAAGCAGCGCTGTATAGATCTCCCACGTGGATGCGTCAAATGCAAGGTTCGAAAGATGGGCGAGTCGTGCTGTAGGCGGGAGCTTTGCAACAACGTTGCTATTCTTGACCAACCTCACGATGCCCCGATGCTCAATCATCACCCCTTTTGGCTTTCCAGTCGATCCAGATGTAAATATGATGTAGGCAAGACTTGTAGCAGTCGGCCCGGCAATGTCCTGGGAAGATTTATCGCCGGGGTAGTTACGGAGGGTATCGCAGATTAGCACCATCGAGACATTGGGTACGTCAAGAGCCGGTCTGGTGACTGCGCTTCCTAGCAAGACGATGACCCGGCCCTCCAGAGTGGAGAGGATGGAGTTGAGTCGTGCTGCCGGCATTTTGACGTCCATGGGAAGATATGCCATGTTGGCCTTGAGGATACCGAGGATTGCGACGATGGTCTCGCATGACCGGGGAGAAAAAAGCGCAACGGGCGTCTCCGCCGCGAGATGCTGGTTTCGAAGCCAAGCCGCCAGAATGCTGGATTTCTCGTCCAGCTGCGAGTATGTCAACTGCGAGATCGAGTCTTTGACTGCGATTGCATCGGGGGCTGCAGCAACCTGTTGGGCAAAGACATCCACGACGCTGGATTCCCGCGGGTATTCGGCCCTCGTCTCCTCTGCATCGTCGATACCAACGGCTCGAAGGCCATGCGGCCCATTCATTCCATCCATTAGTGGTAGGGACGCAATGCGCGTGTCTGGCTGTGCAAGCCCGCGACGCAGCACCTCCTGGAAGATATCTGCGACACCCTGAATCGTAGCGGCCTCGAACAGGTCAGACGCGTACAGAATGGTGCCGGCCAGCTGGCCTTCTTCCTGGAACAAGTGAAACTCAAAATCGAACCGCGTCGTCGGGGGCGCCATGAGACGCTCACTTGCCAGGCCCTCGAGGGGAAGTCTGCCAATATCATGCTGCGAGTGCAAGGCGAACACGACCTGCACCAACGGGTTACGCGACGCATCGCGAGAAGTCGGCTGCACGGCCGCCACAATGCTCTCGAACGGGATGTCCTGATTCTCAAAGGCGGCTGCGGTGGCAGCGCGGACTTGCTGGACGAGGCTGTTGAACGTCTCGTCGTCTTGCATGTCCGTCCGCATACACTGGAGGTTGACGAAGAACCCGATGAGATCCTCGAGTTCGGGCCTATTTCGGTTCGCGATTGGCGTCCCGATGGTCGCGTCTTTGACCCCGGTGAGCCTGTAGTGGGTGGCACGGAAGGCTGCGAGCAGCACGGCAAAGGACGTGGAACGGTTGGCTCTGCAGTACGTCTGCAAACTCTCGTAGACGGGGCCCTTGACGGTCATTTGAACAAGTCCAGAGTTACCTGAAAGAATGGCCGGACGCGGCTTATCGGTCAAGAATTCGGCCGGTGTACTGTCGGCCAAATGTTCGGTCCAATACTCAAGCTGGCGTTGTTGATCGATCGCCTGGGCATCGCTCTTCTGCCACACGGCAAAGTCACGATACTGGATCGGAAGAGGGCGCACCCGCGAAAGGGGGTCTTCTCCATGCAGCGCTGCGGCATAGAATGCCCCGATTTCTTTGCGCAGGACGTCAACAGACCACCCGTCTGCTATGATGTGATGCATGACGATGGACAGAACATGGTCGTCCTCGCCGACCCTGTACAAGGTCACCCTCCAGCCCATATCCGAGGCAAGGTCAAAGGGGGTTTTCTGCTCTTTTCTGAGCGGCTCCGCGTAGCTCCCGCCGTCACGGGCGGTAGAGAGGTCGACGAATTTCAGCGTCTTGTTGCAGGGAGGGTGAACAACTTGCACGCGGACGCCGCCTTGTTCCGCAAACGTCGTCCTCAACGACTCATGGCGCTCCTCCAGCGTATTAATGGCAATAGAAAGGGCATCCACGCTTAACGGGCCTCGCAGGCGGGCGGCAAATGGCATCAGATACCATACCGCGCCAGCATTGAGCTTATCCATGAACCAGAGGCGGCCCTGAGCAAAGGATTGCTCGACCGGTCCGTAGTACGGCATCGGCGTAATGGGACTGTGCAGGGCTGAGCCCGGCCGGATGATGGCAGCAAGGTCGACGAGAACCGGTTGGTCAAAGATATCCTTGACCGACACGCGGGCGTCCAACCTGCGACTGATTCGTGCCGCCAGCTTGGTTGCCATCAACGAGTGACCACCGAGATCGAAGAAGTTATCGGTAATGCCGACTTCGATGCCGAGCACTGTTACATACTCTTCGCAAAGTGCCGCTTCAACCTCGTTACGCGGTGCCACGCGTAGCGTAACCGTCGTGGTTCTCAGAGTCGTCAGGGCTCTTCTGACCAGCTCTTGACGATTCACCTTGCCATTCGTTGTAAGTGGCAGATGGTCCACCACAATGATCTGGGTTGGTACCATGTAGGAGGGAAGAACGGCCTGGAGTCGCTGGCGAATGCTTCTCTCGGTCACGTTGGCGGCGGCGGCGGCGGCGGCGGCGGCCACGGCGGCTGTTTCCCCGTCCCCGTCTCCATTCTCCACATCACCGTGTTCGGTATCGGTGTGGACGGTCACGAACCCGACCATCTCCGGCAGCTGGTCGTCAAACTTCCGGATCACAATGGCTGAATCGCGAACCTCGGTGAGACCGGCCAGGGCCTGTTCCACCTCGGCGGTCTCGATACGGTATCCTCTGATTTTGACCTGGTTATCCGTTCGGCCGATGAATTCGAGCTCCCCGTCGGCCGGGCGGTATCGCGCGCGGTCACCGGTCCGGTACGCCCGTACAGACTGGCCGTCGATGGTCACCTGTACAAATCGGGCCTGGTCAAGCGAGGAATCAGTATATCCGCGGGCCAGGCCGTCACCCGTAACGACAAGCTCGCCGATCACGCCCAGCGGCACCAATTGCTGGCGAGAGTCCATAACGAAGGCCCCGGAATTTTTGATACTCCGCCCGATGGGCAGTCCGTTCACGCAACGGTCATCAGGGCCCATTTCATAGAGCGTGCTGAACGTTGTGTTTTCTGTTGGTCCGTAAACGTGGCAAAAGGCCTTCCGAACGAGTCCTCGTGCCTTGAAGGCGTCCTTGGACCTCATCGTCTCTCCTCCGACGAGCAAGACGTCAAGGCTGCCAATAATAGAGGGCATTTCCTCGAGGAACTGACGCATCAAGGCGGTGGTGAAGAAAGCCATTTTGATATCGTTGGCGCGGAACGCGTCGAGTAGAAGAGAGGGACTCAGAACCGTCATCTGATCCAGGCAGACGACCGTACCGCCATTGAGAAGGGGTCCGTATATTTCCCAAGTGGTGGCGTCGAAGGCGAGGTTGGATACATGCGCCAAGCCGACTCCCACGCCGGCCTGTAGATGCGGGCTCGTGTTCTTGACGAGCCGCACGATACTGCGGTGCTCAATCATAACACCCTTGGGGCGGCCAGTCGAACCGGAGGTGAACATGACATACGCAAGGCTGGTTGCTTGCGGCCCTGGTGTTGCATCCTCGCCATCGCCATCCTGCCTCTGGCGATGACGGCTCCCGTTCGTTGCCTCAACAATACGCACCAGCTGGACGTCGGGCATCTTCAGGTCCGGCATGGATACCGTGGAACCGACCAGTAGAAGCTTATGGCCGGGCACCTCCGATAATATGTCCTCCAGGCGAGCAGTAGGCACATTATTATCAAACGGTAAGTAGGCCAAATTCGCCTTCAGAATTGCGAGAAGCGTGACCACAGCCTCACACGATCGCGGAGCAAGGACGCCGACCAGTGTTCCAGGGGCGAATGTGCGCTCGCGCAACCAAGCGGCAAGGCAGTCCGACTGTTCGTCAAGCTGGGTGTAAGTCAGCTGAGATGAGGAGTCCTTCACGGCAGTCGCCTCGGGATAGGAAGACGCCGTCTCAAGGAAAATGTCAACAACGCTGGAATCCCGGGGATATTCCGACTTGTTAACCTGCAGTAGACCCAGATTCCTGAGGGCTGGAAGTCCGTCGGTCAGGGGCAGACCTCCGATGGGCGCCTGTGGCTGGTCGAGGGTCCGGTGCAGGACCTCCTCGAACACGTGAATCAAGGTCTGCACGGTCTTGGCCTCAAAGAGATCTGTCGAATAAAATACGGTGCCCCTTAGTCTTGCATCCTCTTGGAAAAGGTGGAACTCCAGATCGAATCTCGTGGTTGGCGCGACGGGCATCATCTTTTCAGTGAGGCCCTCGAGCTGGATCTTGCCAATATCCTCCTGCTGCGAGTGGACGGCGAAGATCAGCTGCACCAACGGGTTGCGAGACGTATCCCTCGACCCCGGTAGCAGGGCCGATACGATACGGTCAAAGGGCACATCTTGGTTCTCAAACGCAGAGGTCACGGTTGAGCGTACCTGGCGAACCAGCCCGTCGAATGTTTGATCGTCATCAACGGCGATCCTCATGCACTGGGTATTGACAAAGAATCCAATCAGGTCTTCGAGCTCCAACCTAGTACGGTTGGCGATAGGGGTGCCGATCGTCACATCGTCGTCGCCCGTGAGGCGATAATGCGCTGCGCGGAAGGCAGCCAGCAGCACGGCGAACAGGGTGGCCTGACGGGTGCGACAGAAGGTCTGGAGCCTTTCGTATATGTGCCCTTCGATGGATAGTTCCACGAGGCCTCCGTTTCCGGAGATCGTGGCAGGCCGTGGCTTATCACACATGAGGGTGGCGGGTTGGCTGCCGGACAACTGCTGTTTCCAATATGCCAGTTGCCGCTCATGTTCAGCCACTTGTGCTTCCTCCTTTTGCCAGATGGAAAAGTCGCGATAGTGAATGGGCAGAGGGTTCACCGTCGACAGCGGCTTCTTGCCACGCAGCGCTGCGGCGTAAAACGCGGCCAGCTCGCGCCGGAGGATGTTGAGAGACCAACCGTCAGAAACGATATGGTGCATCACAACGGAGAGCACATGGGACTCCTCGCCCAGGCGAATGAGGGCCGGTCGCCAGCCAGGTTCAGTTTCCAAGTCGAAAGGCTGAGAAGTCTCTCTGTTTAAGGCGAGCGTCAGCTCTTCCTCGGAGCCTCCAGTGATGTCGATAACCCGGAGCTTCTTTGGAACGAACGGTTGCACCACTTGCACGTTCATTCCATCCTGTTGCTGGAACGTGGTCCGTAGTCCCTCGTGACGTTCCTCCAACGCTAGTAGCGCCGTTCTCAGTGCCTCTAGATCAAGTGGTCCGTCAAGACGAGACGCAAACGACGAGAGGTACCACGTGAGGCCCGGGTACAGACGCTCGAGGAACCAAATACGCCCCTGGGCGAACGACTGTTCAACAGACCCGCTGTACGGGTGGGAGACAATGGGGCTGTGCTGGGTTGAGCCGCGCTTGACGGTCAAGGCGAGGTCGAGGAGGATGGGATGTTCGAATATGTCTTTGACTGTCACGCGGGCCTCGAGCCGCCGGCTGATACGCGCGGCCAGTTTCGTGGCCATGAGGGAGTGGCCGCCCATGTCGAAGAAGTTGTCAGTGATACCGACCTTGGTGTTACCTAGAACGCTGGCAAACTCCTCGCACAGAGCGGCCTCGATGTCGTTACGCGGCGGCACGTGGTCAGGCTTTTGGCCCGAGGCCTTGCTGTCTCTCGGTGTCGTCTGGGCCCTGTGGGCTAATTCGCGCCGGTCAACCTTGCCGTTGGCGTTGAGAGGCATCTTGTCGAGTATGAAGATCTGTGCGGGGATCATGAACCGCGGCAACACAGCCTTCAGTCGCTGCCATATCTGTTGCTCCAGCATTGTTGCGAACTCGTCGTCGTGACCACATACAGTCCCAGGAGTCTCGTCATCACTGGCAGAGGTGGGTTTGACTGCCGTGTTGTCGTCTCGGGCCACCGCGAAGCAAATGATGCTCGGCTCTTCTCCGTCGACCTTGCGGACGATGGCTGCGGCGTCGAGAACACCCCCCTGGCTAAGGATCGCTTGCTCAATCTCGGCCGGTTCGATACGGTGGCCGCGAATCTTGACCTGCTGATCAATACGGCCAGAGAACTCGATCTGCCCGTCGGTCGGCCTGTATCTCACACGGTCGCCTGTTCGATACGCCCGTACAAGCTCCCCGGCAATGTCTATCTGGATGAACCGATCTTGGTTGAGCTTCTGATCTGTATAGCCCCTCGCAAGACCATCGCCGGTGACCACAAGCTCTCCCATGACTCCTACGGGAACGAACTGTTGGTCCGGGTCCATAATGAATGCGCCCGAGTTGCTGATGGCGCGCCCAATCGGCGTACCGTTGGCAAGCGAGGCGTCGCCGTCCGTCACTTCGTAGAAGGTACTGATGACGGTGTTTTCGGTCGGGCCGTACGCGTTGTAGATGCTGCCGCGGACGAGCGCCTTGGCCTCGATCGCATCGCGGCCGTCGAACCGTTCACCGCCAACGAAAAGCATGTCCAAGCCACGCAGCGTATCGGGCGTGTTAGCGAGGCACTGTTTGAGGAGGGCCGGTGGCAGCAACAAGACATGGATTCCGTGCTGGGCGAAAGCGGCCCCCAGGGCTTCGCTGTCCAATGTAGTAAAATAGTCAATGCATACGGCGGTCCCTCCGTTGAGAAGTGCCACCCAAATCTCCCACGTTGAGGCGTCGAATGCGATATTGGACATGTGTGCTACGCGGGCGGCGGCCGGAAGCTTGGAGTGGGCGTTGCTCTCCCTCACCAACCTGATGATACCGCGGTGCTCTATCATAACGCCCTTGGGTTGGCCGGTAGAGCCGGAGGTGAACATCACGTAGGCCAGGCTCGTCGCCCGTGGCCCGGCAGAGCCGTCTGTCTGATGATGTATCTCGGCGGCCTCGCCCAGAGCATCTGTGATGGAAACCATCTCGACGTCGGCCACTTTGATGGGAAGCTTCGGCGCGTCAGCACCAAGTAACATCAGCTTGTGGCCCTGCACTGCTGACAGGATCGTTTCAATGCGGCCTGCAGGCATGTTCACATCGAGCGGGAGATAGGCGAGGTTCGCCTTGAGGATGGCGAGAAAGGTCACGATGGTCTGGCAGCATCGAGGAGCGAATACGGCTACCGGGGTCTCGGGAGCAAGCCGGCGTTGACGCAACCAGCCGGCGAGCTTATCGGATTGCCGGTCGAGCTCGGCGTATGTCATCGTCAGCGACGACATTTCCGTAACGGCCACGGCCTCGGGATGAGCCGCCACCTCATCCCGGAAGAGGTCCACTAGACTGGCGTCTCGGGGATAATCCGTCTTTTCGACGTCGTGCAGGCCCATCCGGTGCAGTTCCGCCATCCTGTCGGTCAGGGGCAGCGTGGCGACGCGAGTCTTGGGCTGTTCGAGGCCACGACGGAGCACCTCCAAGAAGGTGTCGACCACGCCGGCAATGGTGGCGCGCTCGAACAGGTCGGAAGCAAACAGGACGTGGCCGCGGAACCGGTCCTGTTCGCGGTACAGATGGAACTCCATATCAAAGCGAGCGGTTGGCACAGCAGGTAGAGACTCGCTGCGGACGTCCTCCAGATGGATCCGGCCGAAATCCTGTTGTGAGTGCAGTGCGAAGGCGAGCTGGGATAGGGGGTTCCTTGATGCGTCTCTTGATCCAGGAAGAAGTGCCGACACGATGCGTTCAAATGGCACGTCTTGGTGCTCCCACGCCGCCGTTGCAGTCGAAAGCACTTGTTTTACCAAGCCGTGGAACGTCTCGTTACCCTCGATAACCGTACGAAGGCACTGGGTGTTAACGAAGAAGCCGATCATGCCCTCTAGCTCAGCGCGGCCACGGTTAGCAACGGGCGTGGCAATAGTTGCATCTTCTGCGCCGGTCAAGCGGTAATGCGTCGCGCGAAAGGCCGCGAAGAGGACGGCAAACGGGGTCACCTGGTGGTCGCGGCAAAAGGCCTGGAGGCTCTCAAACAAGCGGCCTTGGACGGCGAAGTCGATCTCCCCGGCATGACCCGAGAGGATCGCCGGCCGCGTTTTATCGCATATGAGCTCGCTCGGGGAGTTATCTGCCAGTTGCTCTGTCCAGTAATCGAGCTGTCGCTGATGTTCGGCGACTTGCGTCTCTTGACGCTGCCAAGAGGCGAAGTCGCGATACTGTATGGGTAAAGGGGGTAGTCGGGTCAAGGGGTCCTCGCCGCACCGGGCGGCGGCGTAAAGGATGCTGAGCTCCTTGCGCATGATATCGACCGTCCAGCCGTCCGAGATGATGTGATGGAAGACAATCGAAAGGACGTGGTCCTCGTCGCCTAGCCTCAGCAGCGCTACGCGCCATCCCGGCTCGCTCGATAAGTTGAAAGGTGTCGTCTGCTCTTGTCGCAGGACCTCCTTGTACTGAGCAGGGGCCGACGGTACATCGACGACTCGAATCTCCCTGAAGTGGCTCTCGTGGACCACCTGCATTCCCACGCCGTCGTGATCTTCGAACGTCGTCCGCAGGGCTTCGTGCCGCTGCTTCAGGGCATGGAGGGCGGCGGTGAGGGCCTCAATATTGAGGGGGCCGCGCAGCCGCTCTGCGAAGGGCACGAGATACCACGAAGAACCTTGGTTGAGCTGCTCCAAGAACCAGAGGCGGCCCTGCGCATACGACAGCTCGACGGGTCCCTGGTACGGCTCCGCGGTGATCGGGTCGTCCTTGGACGATTTCTCCCGCACCATGGCCGCCAGACCCTTCCAGGTTGGCTGCTGGAAGATGTCGGTCACGGTCAACTTCATGCCAACCGACCTCGCCATGTTCACCAGCTTGATCGCCGCGATGGAGTCACCGCCCAGGTCGAAGAAGTTGGCGCCGTGGCTGGCCGACGTGGCGGGGAGATTCAGGCTCCGGAACCACATCTGCCGCAGCTGGTCCTCTGCTCCCGCTGGCTCCCCGGCTGAGGCTTCGGGCTGCGATATGGCGCTCTGGATGAGCTCCTCGACGAGCTTGGCGCCGATGGCACGGAGACGCTTACGGTCCGTCTTCCCGGTCACTATCGTCGGACGCTCCTCCATGCGGATGAAATAAGACGGGACGGCATAGTCGGGTAGAGCCTGCGTCAGCGGCGCCCTGATGCGCTGGGAGGCTCTTCCGTCCAGTATGTAGGCCTCCTTGTCGAGATGGGCAGCTTCTTCGGGTTGGAACGGCCCAAAGAGGAATCCGACCAGGGCCGCGCTGCTCGCCTCGTGGGATCGTTTGACGACCTCGGCCACGGGTACCAGATGTTTAGGAAGCGCCTTGCGCAGATGGCTCTCCACGTCGCCGAGCTCGACACGCTGTCCCCGGATCTTGACCTGCAAGTCCCTGCGCCCGAGGTATGCGACGGTCCCGTCTGGCCTGTAGCAGACGAGGTCACCGGTCCTGTAGAACCGGTAGCCGTTGGCCTTCTGGTGCCGCCGCCACTCCGCGGGGTACCAGGCTGGCGCGTCGTCGAGGAACGGCGACTGGTCCGGGGGCGGGGGCACGACGTAGCCCCTGGCGATGCCGGGGCTCTCAATCATCAGCTCGCCGACGCACCCGATCGGGGCGAGTCTCCCGGGGTCGTCCGGGTTTGTGATCCAGTAGCGGGCACCCAAGGCACGACCAATGTTCTGCAGGTCGGCCGTGTCTGGGTAGACGCGAGAGCCACCGCATATAGTTGAGCTCTCGCTCTGGCCGTAGGAGTTGATGACCTGGATTCGGGACGAGAACGAGTCTCTCTGGTACGCCGAGAAGGACTCACCTCCCGAAAGGAGGGTCCGAAGCCCGGAGAGGCTTTCCGGGGGGATGGTTGAGACGAACGATGGCGTGAGCGTCGACCAGTTGACGCGCGCTCTCTTGATGAAGCCCGCGATGTCGTTCATGCGGTCGTGGTCCGAGGGAATGCAGACACAGCCTCCGTGCATCAGTGTGCACATGGTCTCCGCCAAACTCGAGCCGAAGGCATACGAGGAGAACTGGAGGGAGCGGGTATTCTGATCGATGCCTAGAGAAGGGCTGAACTGGAGCGCACACGAGGCGAACGCCCGATGCTCCAGCATTGCTCCCTTGGGCTCGCCGGTGCTCCCCGACGTGAAGATGATGTAGGCCAGGTCTTGTGGCTTCGCGACAGGCGTGAAGCCTGCTCGACTACCGGACAGAGAACGCAGGAGATCATCCTCGAGAACGATCGTGGTAGGCACGAGCCCGCGGAAGGTATCGGCGTGGAGCCGGGAGGCGAGGGCGAACGTGGCAGACGTTTGCCGGCATATTTGGGCGACGCGTGCCGCCGGATGGGCCGGGTCGACCAGCGCAAAGGCATGGCCGGCCTTGAGTACGGCGAGGACTGCGGCGACCATCCACTTGGACTTCTCGAAGCAGAGGGGCACTGCGTGGCCGGGATCGAGCTTCAGGGACTGGATGTGTCCGGCGAGGCGCGAGGACACGCCGTCCATCTCCGCATGCGACCACTCGCCGTCCCAAGCGTACACAGCGGGGCTGTCCGGCGCCTCGGCGGCCTTGCGGGATACCACATCGTGGAGGCACACGTCGTGCCTCAGAGGCAGCGCCGAGTTCCAGCTCTCGATCTCGGAGCGGTCTTCCGCCGTAACGATGTGAAGTTCCTCAAGGGGCTTCTCCACGGCATCGTGTTGGAACTGGACGATCAACAGCCCCAGCTGCCGCAGGAAACGGGCCACCTGCCTGGCGTCAAGGACGCTCGGGTCGTATCTCGCAAGCATCGAAGCCGAGTCCTCGGCCATGTGGCAGTGAAGCAGGAGGGCGCGATCCAAGCAGGGTGTGAATCTGTCTGATCCTAGGGCGGTCCGACGGAGCACGGGACTCGAGCCGACGGGAACATGGTCACGGCCGTGCTCGGAGGATGTGACCGCCAGCACGGTCTGGAAACCACACGCGGCGGACCCGAACTCCCCGGCACCGCGGACGCTATCTAAGCCGGCGTGCTCGAACTCGCGAACGGCGGCATCGTGGGCCGCCAACGCCCGAAGAAGGTCGGAGGCCGGTTGGCGAGGATCGCAAAAGACACGGGTGGGCATCACGGTCCGTGTCAGGCCGCAGTGGAGCAAGGACGCCTGCGACTCGGGATAAGGAGGCGGCCTCTCCACCGCGACGCCGAAGAGTGCTTCCGACGCATGGGTGTAGCGGGCCAGGAGGACCGCGAGCGCCGCTCGGCAAACCGCAGTGTTGTCCCAGTCCCTTTGGACGGGGACCTTGTTGTAGGCGATGCTATGGTCAGCCTGCGCGCCAGGCCGGGGTTTGTTTAGGTGCGAGGGCAAGGCGGGAAACGAAGAGGCATCCAGTTGGTCAAAGTGGCGCCGCCAGAACGGGGCCGCGTCCGCCGGCGCGGCTGTAAGACCGTTGACTTGTTCCCCGGCCGCCGCACCAACAGCATCCCGGGCGGCGGCATCGTCGCCCGAGTATACGGCAAGAACTCTGTTTACGACGTAGTCCTGCAGGGAGCTGTCTACCATGGCGTGGCTGAAGGTCCATAGCAACAACCTCTGCTTCTTCATGCTCGGATCCTCAAGCAGGGCGTACCGGGTATTATGCTTCTCCGCCGCCGCGGCCGCGACCTCGGCCTCGATGAAGGCTTCTCTCTCGTCCGGCCGGTTCGAGCGGACCCACGAATAGCCCTCTGACAACACCGCCTGGTAACGGGCTCCAGCCCCGGAGGTGAAGATGCGGGTGCGCAAGGCGGGCGTCTGGCGCGTGACCTCTCTCCATGCTGCGGCCAGGCGCTCGAGGTCAACGTCTTCTCCGACCTCAAATATCGCGTGGCCAATGTTGCTCCGTTCGTCGCCGGCAGTACTCTCCATGACATCGAGTTGGGACGGGGTGCAAGATAGCGTCATCTCGATCTCGCTCGGCGCAATGCCAAGCTGCCGAGCTGCCTCCAAGCGTAACGCGCTATGAGACTCGGGAGACGCTCCGTCCGTGACCGAGGTCCCATTGATGCTAGGTATCTGTAGGATAGAGGGCATTGTTGCGTACAATTGGTATGTTGTATTGTCGTTTTGCCTGGGAACGGTGTGGGAACTTGGTCTTGGGATCTTTCGGGGGGGTTTTTTTTTTTTTGATCGTTTTCAAAATGGAATTTTCTGGTTTGTTTGACTTTGTATGATGGAATATTCGTATCAAAGGCTCTGATAAGCTCTCGAAGGTTTCCAAAGAGTCAAGAGTCCTCGTTCTTACAGCTCGGTCGCTGATCATCTCATGGCAACCGCTTCCAGCTAAGTATTTACAAAGTCACGCAAGACATATCTGATATCAGCGCTAGGACCGGTCCGAATGTCGCCCATTCCCAGCCGCACACTAGTCCAATCACCGTTGCAATCATATTCCATCACGGTTGGCAAAAATGGATGGCAGCCTGTCTTACACGGGGGTTGTTGAATGAAGTCAAACATCTCCACCTTCCTCGTCGTGATTGACTGGAGGCGTATGGTTGGCTGGTAAGTGACAGGAATGATTGCCGCCACAAGGTTTTGGATGAATGACTTGTCAGTATTCCCTTAACTCGGCGTCAAGAAACGAGGTCTCGTGATACTCTCAAGCCAATGTCTGGAATTCTACCCATCTCAACACGACCTTGGCCAATTGCGTTTTTGACATTAGCCCCTTGTATTGCGAGTCTGGGCCAACATTGAGATTTTAGGACCTTGTGTTGACTGAGAAATCATTAGTATCACACCTGTTGTCTGTGTCGTGTGTCAGCATATAATGCAGTATAGCATAAGCTGACGCCAATCATCACCCAAAGCAATGGCTAGTTGCAAATCGATGGAAGAGGGCTTTGACATATCCTCGTACCTATAGAGAACCAACGACCAGCATCCGCCCTTCATCTTACAGTTCTGAACGGCAACAACACATTCGCGTGAGTCTTGACTAAACCCCGAGGTCTACTACGAAAATTCAAAGTCTCTGCACGTGCTACAGTAACGGCGTTGTCATAATAGGGGGGGGGATTGTTTACCTTCGGTGCCCAGTTAGCCGATAGCCAATCAACTAGTAACAGCCGGCTACCAGCGACCTCCCTCCGATGGCATCTTCTCGTAGTAAGACATTCTTTTCCTGCTAAGATGGCTTAGACGTTTCCTCTTTAGCCCTCAATGGCCTCGATTGAGACGGGCTACCCACCCGTCATGACACAGCCCTAGCCGCGAATAGCACACAAACACATCCTAACAACCCCGCCTTCTTTTCCGACATACTGCCCCGACCCGGTCTCGGATGATCGTTGCCAGTGCTAGTGCTCCCTTTGCTCTTTACAGATCTCCCTACATTGGGATGCCACATGCCTCGTTAGTGAATCAACCGACCCGATTAGGCAATTCTCCGCGGGAAAAAAATGCTGCCAGGCCCGCATTCGTCTTACGCACATAACGGTGCATGTATTCAGAGTGGCCGGAGTGGGGTTTAGTTACATGTAGTCATTCTCACATTCATTGACGAATATCAGATAGTTGCATTGGGGGTGACGCAACTCGAATCGACTATATCCAACGCCCCGCTATAACTTCATGTGTCTTTCATCCAACTGTCTTGGCCTGTGTCGCGGGCGTGACATGCCTCCTCCAAGAGTGCTCTTCCTTGAAGCCCAGCATCCTCTGGATCTTGGCGTTGGAGATGGGGGCCTCGCGGTCGCCCATCTCTCGGGTGAAGGGCGTCGAGGGGCTCACCCGTGCGAGGAAGTCGGATGTCCTCTCGTTGTTTGTCATGTCGTTGTTGGTTGCGTTGTAGACCTGCCAGCCCAGGCCGTCGGACGACAAACACAGGTGGCACATCTGACCGAGGTCCCGGAGGTCGGTATAGGACCAGCCGTGGACGTCCCAGGCCTCGGGTTGGGCGAGGTAGGCGCCAAAGGTCTCTGGGTAGCGGTCAGGCTCCACGATGGCTCCGATGCGTAGGCAGTAAATGTCGACGCCAAAGCGGTTAGCGTAGCTCCGGGCGACAGTCTCACCGAGGAGCTTCGACAAAGCGTATGGATCGGTAGGGTTGCACTCGGTGGTCTCGTCGATGGGAAACTGGGTGAAGGCACGGCGGCCCTCGGCGAAGGTGACGCCGTAGACGGTGATGCTGCTCGCGAGGATGATCTTCTTGATGCCCAACTTGCAGGCGGCCTCTATGACGTTGTGGATGCTCACGATGTTGGTCCGGAAGACCTCGTTGTCGGGTGCCAGCAACGGGCGGGCATAGCCGGCGAAGTGGATGATGGCGTCAGGCACGGACGACTTCTCCAGCGGCTGGGTCAGGTGGAGCTGGGTGTGGAGGGCGCTATAGACTTGACCGGCGTCTGTCACGTCGCACTTCATCGTGTGGACGAATGGTTTGTCGAGCGGGACAATGTCGAGGTTGATGACATCGTGGCCGTGCCGTAGCAGCTCTTGGATGACGTGAGGGCCAATTACACCGGAGCCACCGGTAAAGATGACCCGTTTACCCATGGTGGCTTGTTGTTGATGGATCGATCAATTCCGGAAATAGACTAAAAAGAAGAGGGGAGTTTTCGGAGAGAGAAAGAAACAGAAAAACAAAGGTAGAAGAAAAGGGCCAAACGATGGTAAGGGCTTCGGCACATGTATCTGAGATAATTACGTAGTACGTACGTTCCGGATGACTGGCGTTGAGAGATACTACCTCCCACCGGGATGAAGGCCAGGCAGGGTAATGAACATCTGAGACTCGGACGATTGCCTCCAAGGTTGCAACACTAATTTGATATACCTGGTTATGCGCCGATGAAAGCGCCTATATCAACACCTGTGGTTGGAAGTAGATATGCGAATGCATGATTGTGATATTGGATCTGCCGCCCTCTCCCTGTCAGCCGTCGAGAAGAGTCCCTGAACAACAGGTTCCACTCCTCTCCCCTCCTGATGTGAGGTATGACTATCGCAATTCAGGTGCTGTGTGTTAGACATGTCTAAGACAAGTCCGTTCCTCGTGCTTTTCAGTAGGTAGTACGGATAGAGCAACTTATCCACAAAACCATATTAGGTAATTAGGGAGGAGTGACTTTCCAAAACGGGAAGTTCTTATAGGTATATGGGAGTGGGGCGATGAGTGCACGGGCCATCGCTTCGGAATGCTGTTCAGCCCAGTCCTGTTACGTAAGCATCCAGACCCCAACCAATCACAGCGGATACCTGGGCACATGTGAAGATATGTCAGCATCGCATCTCGGCTATTAAGTAACCTGATTGGTCATTTGGATAGAACCGATAATCACCCGAAAGGGTATAATATGTCGCTGATAATATGTTCGTATATGAATGAGTACGTCCATATTCCATTCCGTGCTGGCTAGTCTCATTGACTCTAATTGCCAAGCAAAACTCATTGAGTAGAGCCACGCGGACGGCCTCAACAGGAATCATCTATCGGATAAAGCTCTGACGGTTATTATGAGAGCTACTACACGATGTGACAACAACATCATCGTGTTGCCCTTCTGAAGCATGTAAGGTCAGTCAGTTATCATAGCCAATAGGAGTGACTATATCGTAGCCAAGCGACCTCTCACATCATCTGGTCGTTTCATTCCAAGTGCTTCCAACGACCAAGTAAACTACCTATAAACTATGATTGACTTGATTTCAATAATAAACGGCCCATCACCCGCTTTCAAAAGCGTACAAATCGCCGTCAAACACCCACTACTCATACACTTCGCGCGGACGCGATCCTGTATCAAGACATGCCACGCATCTGGTAGTCTCCTTGCTGCTTGCTTTTCTTCTTCAGATGCTTCGACTCCTTGAGAAAAGGGAAGTACACATATGGGTGGAAAACGGTGATGGCGCCAATAGCAATGAGCATCATCGCGCCGTCGAGGCCCAGAAACAACGGCTCGTTGCGCAACACGTCCATAGTAATGGCAGGAATATTCTCCGCGATACTTGCAGCACAGTCATGTCAGCAAAACGAAAATCATCATGAGGCAGGGGTGATTCTCAACGTACCGATACGCGCAGCGGATTATGATCGCAATGTATGCCACCGCGAGAGCATACACAAACGTGCGCACACGCTTCGCTTCTGCTTCAGATGCCGCCTCCCGGGACATGGGCTGGGCGTTGCGCTCCATGAGATGGGCCTCGTCGCTGGGCTGCCAGCCGGATGCGAGCGCCGACCGGCGTCTCGCCATGTAAATCATCATTAGCAGTCCGCAGCAGACCATGTTGGCCACCTGAAAAGCCACGCCGCCGATGATGAGCTTCTCCCCGATCGCCGCCATCGTCTCGTCGCTCGAGCCAGACGCCTTGGCCGCCGTGATGGCGCCTCCGCCCACCTGGATGACGATGGAGAGAAAGTCCGTACCGACAAACACCCACGGGTACAGCGACGGCCGGAGGACGGACCACCGCGCGCCGTACCAGATGACAATGTGCTTGAACGTGACAGAAATGGCGGCTGCGACCAGGGTGGGTGCTAAGAGTAGCGTGAGGTACTGCTGGGCGAAGGAGTTCAGCTCCCAAGGATTGTCCGCAAGCTTCACTCGTCCCAGGTACCCCAGGACCTCGAAGATGGTGCCGATGCCGAGCCAAATGATGAAAGACCACGTCCGCGACCGCATTCCAAAGTAAAGCTGAAATATAAAACAAGCGCCAAAGGCGATACCGAAAAATGTCGCAGCGGGCTTTGACAGGTAGGTTCCGTAGACCGTCAGCTCGACTGGACACCGGTCGCTCACCTCATCGCAGGTGTCGTACGACGGGACAAAGGTATGGTTGGTTGACATGGTTGTACAGAGAGCAACTTGACGCCGTAAAAAGCACCCGGATTATATTCTCTTATTAAATGGATATCTGCGTAGGGGAAGAGGATGAGATTTGGATTTCTGGAGGGCTTATTCACTGTAATAGCTAAAGGAGAGTCGGTCGTATTTAAAACTCGACGAGTACTTTGACCCCTACAAACACAGAAAGCCTAACGCATACAGCCAAGATTGAGATGCCCGTTTGTTAAACCTCATAGAGACAGTTTTCTGCTTCTCTTGCATCTCACCAAATTAAAAGGTCGAAATGTTCCGAAAACTGATGTCTATTGAGACGTTGACGGGGCATTGCCAGGTCGAACGGAGGGACGGCTCGCGAGCTAATCAACAGAACATGACGCGGTCAGATAGGTGCGAAGCCACGCTTGGCGATGGATATCGGACCGCTAAATTCCTCCGTCCGCAGCTCAGCGTCCTCTGGGTAACGATCGTTCAGCCGTACCAGGAGCCGCAGCAGATGATTGCCGTTGGCCCAAGACAGGAGGCAGGAGAGACTTTTCAGTAGATCCATCTGCTTTGCTCAAAGCGCCCTCCAAAGGAAACCAATAGCTCCAGAAGACTCACTTCCTATACAGCCTCCTCCCCATCCCTCCTCCCGCCACGATCGACGCGGGCACCAACCTTTGAGACCATGAATTATGTATGGAGAATTACTGCCGTCCGTGGGGGGTGGGGGTGGAAAGGGGCTACGGAGGCGAGGGTGAAAAGACTGTGAAGAGAGTGAATCAATGCAGCGGCTTGTCACGCCAACCGCCATGTCAACGGTCACGTCAGCAGAGACAACATAACCTAGCGATATTTCCGTCGATCCAGACATACGCTAATCAGAGAAACTTTAGGTGTGTAGCGATGGATGAATCCTCCCCCCTCGCATGGACTACCCTACCTAGGGATCATCTGCCGCTCATAGGAATCTTTTCTCATCAAAACAATTCTTGGCGGGAAGCCTTTCGGGCCCTGGAAAGTTTCCGGCCCCGCCATTCTCCCTCGCCAGATGCTCAGCCCTCGATGTACAAACGGCCGAAGGCGGTTGGCGGTTAGACAATGCTGCGTGAGACATTGTTCCATATTGTGGCGCGCCGTCCCGTGCCGCTCTCGCCCAAGGCATGCCACGCCCGATTGCATCTAGGGCACCCAATGTGGTCCAAAAAGTACGCCTCGGCCTTTAGACTCTCAATCTCCCGTTCACAATCTCACAGCCCCTCCCGTCCGCCCCCCCTCAACCTCGTAGACAGCCTGTGGAATTCGGCGGCAGGGGGTCATCGTTGCCTCCCTCTTCGTCTTGTCTGTCACAACCTTTCGTCCCTGTTTCCCATTGTTTTTCGGGCTACTTCGAGGATACCGAGCATGGGCACACTGCAAGCTCGAGACCAGCCTTCGGCCGTCGCCCATGTCATCGCCGAGCCGAGCGAGAAGCGCCAAGGACGCCGGCCGGCGTGCGTAGAGTGCCGGCGGCGGAAAATAAAATGCGACCGTCAGTACCCGTGCGTGTCCTGCATAGCAGTGTGTCTATCCCCTTTCCGATGTCTGCGCCGGGCTTCCCGCCGCTAACGCTTCTAGCTTGACCACGAATGCCGCCAGCCGCCGCCCGGGCCGGCTCGCCGGCCGAGGCGGCGCAATCACCACGAGCTCTACGACAAGATCGCTCGGGTCGAGTCGCTTCTTGCGCAGTGTGCTATACCGCTCGAGCACAAGGAAAGCCGAAGTCAGCTCTCTGACCTTCCCTCCTACATGCTTCACTCTGGCGAGCCGGACAGTTTTCAACAACCTGCTGCGCTCGCCCAACCCCAGAGGCAGCAGCCCAAAGGCACGCTTGTCCACGTTTGGAACGGCGGTCTGGAATTCCGTGACAGCAAGGCAATGGCTGTTGTATTCGATGACGTAAGTCGCCCTGAGAAGTGCCGGGACGGCCGTGTCGTCCGAGGCCGTCTTGCAAAGCATTCGGATGCTCACAACTCCTTTGGGGTGGGAAAACACAGTTACAGACAATCCGTGCTCTCATAGATGTCGAACTCGAGCAGGAAGCATGGCTTCCGCTCGTCGAGGCTCCTGGTCAACGACAACAAAGCTGCGATACAAGCATCCCTTTTACGGATCAACTGTCTGCCTGTGTTCCACCAGCCCATGCGATCGACGTCCTCTGGCGCGTGTTTCTCGACCGCGTGAATCCAGTGACAAAAGTCATCCACGTGCCCACGTTTCGCATGCGCGTCATTGAAGCCATCAATGACTTCACCAGTGTGCCTTTGGCGACGGCAGCTCTCCTATTCTCCGTCTTCCTGACGGCCTCCGGTTCCTTGTCACGACAGGAACACTGGGATGAGCTCGGTCGAAGTCAGGCCGACACCATCGCCGACTTCACACTAGGACTCAAGCTGGCTCTCACCGAACTAAATTACCTGAAGAACCACAACCCGGAAGTACTGTGCAGCCTGGCTTTGTATTCGGTCAGTCGGTCCATGTGCCTGCTTCTTAAAGCCCCTCCCCAGAATTGCTGGCCGCTAACTGTACCCCAGTTGTTCCAGCAGACGCGAAATGGCTCGTCTGACCCATGGATCTTGAATGGGGTCGTTGTGAACATTGCCTACCGGCTCGGTCTACACCTTGATGGATCGCACGCAAACCTTTCAGCTTTCCAGTGTGAGATGCGGCGCCGTCTTTGGTGGCAAATCGTAATCTTGGAGACAAGGTCCGGCGGGGCGTTCGGGACCGGCTCGCATCTGCTACCCTCTCACCGGGACACTCGTATCCCCCTCAACGTTAATGACGAAGACCTGAGTCCTACCATGCCAACAGAGCCCTGTCCTCACGATGGTCCCACCGAGATGTCGTTCTGCATAGTAACATACGAGCTTAGGAAACAAGCCTTGGCTCAACCTCGCCTGTGGTCGATTGATGATATACTATGGCGCCAACTGCCATCGCCGGCAAACCCCTACAGCAGTCCCTCGGCGGAAATGCTAGGGGTGATGACGGCTCTCCAATGGTTTTCCAAGGACATCGACGGGGTACTCCATCCGCTAGAAAACAACCTCTGCCCCGACCCTGCTTCCAACCCGCTGCACGCCATGGCGCAATGTAACCGCGAGGCGCTGTCTCGGATTATCCAGCTCCTCGTCACGCCGATGGAAGAGTCGCCCGAGTGGGGAACTGAGGTGCTGGGCCCAGACGACAACTTCTTCCGCATAAGTCTCGCTGCGAACGAGGAGGCGCTCCGGGCGAGGAAAGCGGCCGGTCGACGCTTCGCCTGGTACGCGGACATCGACTTCAAGATGCAGGGTTTCTACTACCTCGGGGCCCAGCTCCAGAGCCGCCCCGCGGGCTCCATGGCCCACAGGGTCTGGTCGGTGATGGAGGATACGTACGCGCTCCACGAGGAGCTCTGGGAACTGAGGGATAAAGAGAACATGACGCTGTGTAATCTTCTACTTTCTGCCTGGGATAGGCGCTCCGTTCATCTCGCGACAAGTCACGAGGTGCTGCCGGAGCCGCCTTTTCTGAGCAGACTGCGGGAACAAGTCATGGTGATGAAAGCTGAAGCACTGGGTATCCTCTAAAATTTGGTCTTGCACAACAGACACAACCGTCTGGGGCGGCAGGAAATAGACTTGTCATTGATGAGAACAGACATTCATTGCACATGAGATTAGGTTTACTTGTAAACAGGCTACGAATGCCCAGATGAACTTTGAACGACATGCTGTTTGAACACATGCCATAGTCTTGGTCGATAACGCGGAAGTTGCATGCAATTAAACACTTTTCAACCTATTTCCACCCTACAGATACATAGAAGCTGGAACTAAATTACGTGATGAACGTCATTCCAAATTAGGGCTTGAGAATTGTCGCGTTGCCCTCTTGTTCTCCAGGGCCGGGATAAGTCTTCCGACCCTCAGAGCCTACCCATCACGCGGGACATGTATTTATGTTCTTCTTATCAGATAGTCTCACACCTAAAAATTTAATTCGTTTTCTTTAAATTCTTTCCCGCTATAAAGGTGACGCTTTGGCGTTAATACTTTCGAAAATCAAGACCTTAGTATCTAGGGTGGGCGATGGATCCGCTACCTACACTGGTGATCAGTTTTGATCTGCGAAACCAGCAGACTCAAGCATATTGTTGTTGTTGTTGTTGTATTTAACGCCTGAAACGTTCCTATAAGAGGACAAAGGGCGCCTAGAGTAGCCAGCTTTTAGGAATAATATATACAGCACTTTTTAATTATCTAAGCGGCCTATTATGTATGTTCTATTACTAACCTTGCCTAGGAGTTTTAACCTAAAAGTACTGTCTGTGCCGTTAAGTGCCTAAGGGCTTTTTAGCTACTAGGTGCTATACGGCTTACTTTATGCTCCCCTCTTATAGTACTATTATAGTTAGGTCTTATAAGGCGTATCTATATATTTAGTTATATAGTGCTATTTATATATCTATATTATAGTCTGCTAGTGCCTTATACCTTACTTTATTACCTTATTAGTCTTATTATATAGTATTAAGGGTATTAGGGGTTCTTTTTAGTAAAGAGGAGTAGGGGGGGGGGGAGAGTAGGGGGGGTAAGAGGGGTATATTACCCTTACGCACTTAACACTACTATTTAGTCCTATAGACTAAGAGGTATTTTTTTAAAAGTGCTAAAGTAATATTACAGCCTATAATAAAGCTATATCTTCTATATAGTCTTTATCCCTCTTATAAGCTACACTAGTAGTAGTTTTACTACTTACTATACGCTAAGAGGTAGTGTTATAGCTTTTTTTTATTTAGCCTTATTTATAAGTTATACTAGTATAGGTAAGTCCTATACTATATACTTATAGGCGCTAATAAGGAGTACTAGTTTTACTACTATAAGAGTTATAGTAATAAAGTAGGTATATATTATTTTACTAAAGATAGATTTAGCTAAAGAAGTTATTCTTATAGATAATCCTTATAAACTTCTTATAGGTATAAAATAGTATATTATTTATAAACCTATCTATATCTAGCTATAATATATTACTACTATATCTTATTTTTCTATATTAGAAAATATAGGTTAGTGTCTTTAGCTACTTATAGGAGCACTCTAGCTTTACGTCTAGGTAGTTAAATCTTTTATAATATAAAGTAAAATTACTATAGCTTATCTTAGCTACTAGTAGCTAGTAAAGTTTTTATTTATTAAGGTCTTATATCTTATAGGTAGGTTTTAGTTTAGTATTAAGATCTAGTTATTTATAGCTATTTAGTTTATTCTTATATTACTAACTATTAAAGTTATTCTTAATCCTTTATTATACCTTTTTTTTTACTTATAAATACGTTAGGGGGTAGGTATATAGGTCTACTAGCTTTATCTTAGCCTTACGCTTTACTAAGTTATCTACTAGGTTATTTCTTATAATACTTAGGTGCCTTAGTACTTAGTAGACCTATATATTCTCTTTATAGTTAGTAGCTATATTAATAAAGTCTAAAAAGGCTTCTTATAAGGACGTTAAGGGTAATTTATTTAGGCTAAATATAACTACTATATTATTAAGGTAAATAGTAATCCTACTAACTACTAGGCTATATATACTCCTAAGCACTACTTAGAGCCCTACTTATACCTTTTTTACCTCTATATTATATACCTTTACGTTAAGGAGTCTTTTTTACCCCTAGTGTATTAATATCTTTTTATAGTATACTATATACCTATAGCCTATCTTATTAGGCTTTATCTATAACCTATTAGTATAAACTTTAATATAGTCCTATAAGAGCTAGGCTACTTAGGCCTTATAGTTATATACTACTTACTTCTTATTTATAGCGTCTATAACTTAATATTTTAATAGCTTATAGTAAGTTCTAAACTATAGTACTAGCCTTAAGAAATCCTATATTACTTTTACTGTTTTAAATAGTATAGTTAGGCGCACTTAGCCTCCCTTCTAATTCTATTATTAAGTGTTTAGTACCCTCTATATAAGGGGGTGTTAGGTGTCTAGCCTGCCTATATATAGGCTATGTTATTTCCTAGCTACTTTAAGGAGCTACGCTACTAGTAAGGTGCTTACTTCTTAAAGAAAAGTAGCTATTAGTGTAGTCCTTTACGCTAGGAGGTATCCTTTTACTACTTTATTTATTACCTTTTATGTTCTTTTAATTTAATATATAAGCCTATAGTTAACCCTTAGGTGTTATCCTTACTTTATTTTTAGCCTTAGCCTATTATCCCCTAAGTACTAGATCTCTAATCTATATAGCGCTTTAGGCGTAACTATAATATAAACTACTTTATATATAAGCTTTAGAGGGGCGCCTTAGTATACTTTATTTAGCCCTTAAATATACCTTACTATTATATTTACTATTACTATATGTTTTTTAATATATATCTTAAAGCTAAGGTTATAGTCTAGGTAAACGCCTAGCTACTTTATACTTTTTTTAGGTGTTACTTTTTACTTATTATATTATATTACTAGGCCTCTTATACCTTTTTATTATATAAAGTGTAAAACCTTTATTCTTACTATATTAAAGTATATTTTATTTAGCTTTCCTTATTCTATTATTTTATCTAGGATTTACTATTCTTAGTTTTTACTATCTTTTACTATATTTCCTATATATAGGATTATATAGCTATTTATATAGCTAAATCTTATTATAAGTAGGCTAAAGTAATATAATAGCTTAATATAGTAAAGATATAAGACTAGTAAGGCTAGAGACCCTTATAAAAGCCTATAGTGTAGTAGTATAATAGGCGTTATATTACCTTTATATCTAACCCTTACTTATTATTAGTTAGTAAAGAATTAGGCTTATTATATAACGTTATATAGCTACCTCTACTCTTATAGGATATAGACTAAACGTCTACTATTAACTATATTAAAAGCTTTTTTTATATTTATAGTAATTAGTATATAGTGTTTTTTATTACTTAGTACTATCTTTATATTATACGTTAATAAGGCTATAATATCTATTATTAAGCGCTTTAGGAGTACGCCTTTAACTTATAGGTATAAAATACTTAGTATAATATACGTTTATACTATCTATTTAGTAATTAGACGCTTTAGCCTCTTACTTATCGTTAAGAGGAGTAAGATTAGTTACTATCCCCTAGGGACGCTTATATCCTTATTAGGTTTTAGTATTATTACTATTTCTACGTCCTAGAAGGGGAGGGGGTAATACCTTAGGTAGAGATAGGCTTTATATAGCTTCTAGGTGTAGTTACTAATATATAGCTAGGCTGTTTATAGTAAGGTAACTATAATTCTATTTACCCCTAAGGTTATATTACCTACGCCTAGTAGGGCTGCTTTTACTTCCTTAATAAGGATTACGTTTTCTTACTTAATTATCCTCTATAGGACTACTAGTGTAAAGAGGTTAATATCTATATTAGTATTAAATCTTTTTAGTAGGCGTCTTTAGAGGACGTTTACCTTCTTAATAGGTATAGTAATAACTTTTTTACTATCTTATAAAGGGGAAGCCTTAAACTAGCTTATTAGTTTATATTAGCCTATTATCTTATATATTTCCTTATTTATCTTTATCTTATTAATTTAATCTATTTAGTATTTAGCTTTAGTAAATCTAACTATCCTCTAGAAGTCTCTAGCTGCTATAGTTAAATCCTCTAGGGATAGCTCTTATTATTATATCTATTAGTAGTGTTACTAGGCCTCTATATATTCTAAGGACTACTAGGTTACTAAGCTAGCTTATATTTATATCTTACTAGCTATTATTACTACCTCTTATAGTAGCTTTATTAGCGTAGTAGCTGCCTTATTAAGGTCTTATATACTAGTTACTTTATCTAGTAGTGTCTAAAGTTACTTAGCTACCTCTTACTTAAATTATTTAACTACTTTTAGTATATTAATAATTATCTTTATCCTCTTCTTTAGGAGTGTCTTATATATTTATAGTATTACTATAACTAAGGTAAAGTAGTCTAATCTTATATAAAGGTGTTTAGCTACCTATATTAACGCCCTTAGTAGGTTTAAGAAGACTAAATCTAGTGTATTTCCTCTGTTACATATTAGAATCCCTAGGGGGCTAATAAGGTATAGTTAATATTCCTCTGTCTAGGTAGCTATTTAGTTACTACTATAGTCTAGAGGATCCTCTAGTTACTATAGGGGGTGTCTAGCGTTAAAGTTACTAAGGACTATAACTTATATTAAGGGAGTCTAACCCTTAAGTAGGTTAAGTATATATTATATCCCTAGCTGTTAGTATATATTTAAGAAAAGTGTCTTATAGATAATTACCTTTAGTATATCTTAGGTTAGGTATTAGTTAATATAGTAGGTGTCTATAACTTAGTAGTAGTTCCTAACGTATATAAGGACTTAAGGTTATATAGTAAGATCTATTTATTTAATAGTAGGGATTATAATAGTTACTTAATTAATTCTATTATATGTTCTATATCTATTATAAATTACTATAGAAATAAAAAAAACCCCTATTTCTTAGTTAGGAAATCCTTAGCTAATTCTAGTAATATTATTAGTAAAGTTACTATTAGAAGTAGGGCTAATT